TAGAGGCAGCCCCATTAAGTGGCGAAATGTCACATTAAGGGAAGTGCAAAGCACAATACACCTGCTGCCTTCGCGAACGTGCCAGACATCATTGTTTACTGGCAAGCAGTGACCTAGATACGTCACCTCAGCGTTCGCTCCCGGATGAACCCGTAGGGGAATCCCCCAAACACAGCTTCCGAGGGAAAGGGTACGCGTAACTGCCATTGGTCAGTTATTGCCACCTACGCTCACGTGTGCCACATGTCAACGCAAGAGTGCGGTGCGAGCGTCGTCACAAGCGGTAGGAGACCAAGTGGTCATTCTACCGCAGTACGTTCCGCACCTACAAAGAGGACCTCCAGCCTTTGCTTCGCGTCATTCTGGAGCTGCTGTCTCCTGGCTACGGCAGTTTAGCGGCGTTCAGCGGCGTCCAGGGACCACGGCTAGGCGTGACTCGTCAAGCAGCCCCGCTACCCCAGCCGGCCGCGGGCCAAACCAGTAACTCGTCATTTTGGTGGGCCGTCGGGATCTTCATCCGGTCAGGGACTGCCGGCTCATTATCTTCGGGACCCGCGCCGCGGTCGGAAAGCTCGCCGACCAGAGACCAGCTGTTCCCGTTCGTCCCGTGACAAGTCCCAAGGGCCCCAGGGACCTGGCGCAGTTCACCCAGCAGGTCTGGCAGGGCATGCACTACATCGGTAGCCGAGGGACAATCCACCGGGACCTGGCCGTCCGGGACGTGCTCGTCAACGAACACGGCTGCTGGGTCGCCGACTTCGGACTCTCCATGAGCACTGGGACCCCGAGACGGACGTCTACCACCAAAAGTCCAAGGGCGCCCTTCAAGTCCGACGTCTGAGCGTTCGGCGGAATGCTGCTGTGGGACATTCGTCACTTTGGGCTCGACGCCCCACCCCGGCCTGGGCGCTCAGGAGGTGACCCGCCACGTGCGCGACCGTCACGGGATGACGCAGCCGACCGACTGCCGCTGGGAGCTGTACCGCTGGTGAGGGACCGTTGGACGAACGTTTGGACCATGGACCTATGAGCCGGGCTGTTGTGTCCCGTGGCGGCCTTTTTCTTTTTTTTTATTATTTTAGTCTTGTGTGTTTGTGTTGGTCCACCCGTTTCCGGGTGACTATTGGCTAAGGAGGGGGGAGTGTGGGGATTGTGATCCCGCAACATTCTGTTGCGTCAGCGTTTTGGCGCGCCGTGGCGGCCGCGCCGACGTAGCGAGAGGTGGCGCTGCTTACCACTGTGAGTGGCTTCCTCCTCTCCCCCTTTGGGGCGATTTCCGTAACGAACCACCGCACAAAGGAGATCGACGTGTCGCTCCTTGATTGGCCACTTCGCCCCCGCCGTTATCTTAAAACCAGCGGACAGCAGTATCTCCGCTCTTCCTCCTGGGATTCGGCGGCGGCGACAACGGGGAACCGTCCGGCGCACCGGTGAGCGTTTACCCCGTCCTTTGTATCTTTGTGAACGACCGTACGGCCGTGGACGATCTCCACACCGACGGCGTTCACCAGCTTATAGCCGTTGTTTTCTTCTTTTTGTTTCATTGTAAATAAACTGAGTTTCTCACCGTTACCAACGTGACTGGTGTCTGTTTGCGCTCAACGAGCAGCATGCCACGCGAGTACGAACTCGCTTCGCGGTAGAGCGTCTCGCCGCGAACGTGGTGCTCCCAAAGGCAGTGGCCCAAAGGAGAACCACAAGGGTAATACCGCAATCCCATTGACTGCGGATCAATAATAGCGCGCTTGGCAACCATAAAATATTGTTGCGAGCCATGGGTGATGGGTGAATGAAAGCATAAAGGAGGCAGTGGGGGCTGCAGAAATCTTTTTCGGGGTCCACGTGTGAACTACTACCATAGTACATCTGGCCGTGCTATAGAATCTTTGGAGCATAGCCCAGCATACCTTCATTCGTGTGAAGCTGGGCATTTCACCTTCATCCGACCACTGAAATATAGCTTATCTTACCCTTCCTGCACCTTCCCTTTTTGATTTTGCAAATTTATTCTCAGTGTTAATTTTAGCTTTTGCTGGCAATGAATGCATGAAGGGTGAAATAAGAAAGTTAACATGTGATAATTGCACTTTTTTGGATCAAGCTATTTATTTATGCTATGTATCTTACATTTGCTTCACTTCTTGAGTTTGACTTTGGTCCTTGTTGAGAGGCAAAGATTTCTTAGCTATTTGAGTGAATGTCACATCACAAGCGTTTTTATTAACCAATGTGAAATATCTTATCTGTTTATGAGTTCACGATCGAGTGGTGTTTTGGGAAGAAATTTTCACCTACACACGGATGGTGAAGGAGGTCTTGAGACCACTGATGTGCTTGTCCTGTGCATTCCTTCATCCACCTGTAGATTTCAGCACTTGCATGGCAGCAAAGCAACTCGAGATTCATAATGCAAGCATAGATTGTCGGCCACTGCCTTTGTGAAATGGCACACATTCACAATTTATTTGTGTGTTTGATCACATTGCCTGCAAGACTTGATTCTTTGCAAACAATCCAACTTTTCTTTTTTTGGTTTTATAAGCAAATGATATATAGATACTTTTTTTCTTCTTCTGTTTGCAAATAACACTTTGTAGCAGACAAGTGCGTGTCCCTTGCCCGCATCAGCAGGGAAGTCATCTGTTAATGATACCTCGGCTCGCTCAACGAGAACCAAGTTATATCTTGCCCTTGCAGTGACCAAAATCAGGCCCCTGAGCATTTTCCTGCAGAGCATACCTTAGTGCAGACATACAGAATGTTTCAGCTAACCTGTGTCAAGACTTAAAAATAGCTGGTGGAAACCGCACATGTCGAACAAATTCAGTATTGTTCACTAGCTCCTATTGAACGATTTAATATATATGTTTTGTGACATGCCAAACTGGCTAATTAAGGGAGCAAACTTTTAAAGCATTAATTTGTGTGCAAACCCCTCTAATACGGAAGTTGAAGAGCACGAGGAGAAACATCCCGTCGCGTTTTTTCCATCAAGGTAGCCTTTGTGTGTCTAATTATTTCAAACTTCAGAAATGTGCACAATATTTTAGAAGATCCCACATGGCTGAGGGCACTAACGTCGCACTTTGGATATTTTATAAATTTTGCTTGCTTTCTTTGAAGCTTGAAAAACCTAAACACATAAAGGTTGTCTGGAGGGTATACTCACAAATTGATATTTAGTAAATAGTTCACTGATTAATTTGCATTATTTACCAGTTTGGCTCATTGCAAAAAAAATTGCACGGACGACCACGCGACGTGGTGCGAATGGACAGCATCAGCTGGTGCGGCATTTCAATGATGTTGCGTCGTAATTGACTGGAAATCCGGCAATGTTGCATGGTGGGGTGTCTTGCGCAAACCATGACCGATCTCACACACAACATCTGACACCAGGCAGAATAAAAGGTTAAAAGCGCAAACAGAGCAGGGACAATGAAGGAACACACACGACAGGACAGGCGTGCATCAGCCATCACGTGCATCAACCTAATTGCCAATTCAATGGGCCAGTCCCTAGACCATTTCTTTTTAAAAAAAAGGCTCGAGGTACACTTAAGCACTTCTTATGAGTTGTGAATGCGAAAGCATGCACGCCGCTCTTCGCTCCCTTCTTTCGTCTGTTGTGTGTGGCGTGTTGACCTTGGGCATGGAGCGGTGGAGCCGCTACCTCGCGGACACGCAGCGCCATCGGGTGAGCCATCGCTGAAACTGACGCGCAGCGGCTAATGGGAGCCTTGTCGACGCATGCCAACCAATGGGATCGAAGCCAAAAAGCCATAGTTCGCTCCTTTGGAATCGGGGAAACTAGGTGCTGTGTCTAAGCTTTTTGCGTGGTTTCATAGCTGGGAGCTGGCTACACTTGGAGAAAGGATTTAAAGTGCCGTTTTCGTGCCTCAAACTGAAGACGTCGGCTCGCTCCATAAGACAGTTAATGCTTTCGCTTTAAAAAGCGCCTGTGCTGTTGTGTATGTTTCTTCATTGTCCCCATTTTTTTCACACTTTTAACCTTTTATTCCCAACTAGCCCAAGCCCAAGTTTTAATGCAACAAATTTCTTCTGCGCTGGGGTCCTTCCTTTTTCATTGTGTTAAACAAGATCCTGCCATCACGTGTGTCAACCTATAATCACCATATCAACGTGCCAGTCCCAGACCATTTCTTCTTAAAGCGCCTGTCCTGTCGCATGCGTGTCTTCATTGTCCCCATTTCGTTCGGGCGTTTAACCTATTATTTAGTATGGACCAGCTAGCCCGAACCCAAGTTTTAAAAGACACCAAACACATTCTCACGGGTTCACTGCACAAATTGCTGGGTCACACCAGCATGTCCATTCTTTGCTCGATGACATTCTCTTCTATGTGCAGCTTCACGTTAACGCACGGCATGATCTCGACGTTGAACACGTTCCACCCCAACACCCAGGGTGAGGCCGTCGGCACCCACAGATCGATAATGTTCCGTCTCGCGGGCGCATTTACGCCGTCGAGCAGCCGCTGCTAACTCTGGCGTACGTTTCGGCTGCCTTATTCCTGCAAGCAAAGGCTTAGAGCACCAAGGAATTGGGTAACCGAAGGCGAGAAAGAGCAGGTATGTAATGCGATCGTGTGACCCCCAACGCAGTCGCGATTGGCCAAACGCGTTGCACCTCGACCGCGACTTATTATCTGCGAAAGGGCGAGGGTGTCACTGCTGTACTCACCCTCTCCCGGCGCTGAAGCCACCTGCGACAAACGCGCTCCATTCGTTTTCGGCAACTTGACACTTGCCCAGTGCAGCCGACACTGTGAAATACACCGACTTGCTCAATAGGACTATAAACAATACTGCGTTGGTTCGACACACATGTCGTGCACGAGCTTTTTTTAAGTGTGGGCACAAGTTAGCCGAAACACCCTATATGGATTGGAGCCCAGTATAACAATTTGGTAGCTTCCTACATTGAAAGTGTATGCGAAAAGCGTGGGTCTTACGTACGAGTGGGTGTCATTCTTCCAGGAAGGAATGTCGCCATTGTACCTGGCAGTGTTGCAGCAACACCTGGACGTGGCACGGGTGCTTCTGGACAAGGGAGCCATGCCGAACGCTGGAGACAACCAGAAAAAGTAGGGTTTTTATTGGGTGCTGTTTATTTGTAGAAGCACATCTAGATTGAAACCTCTCAAACGGGGCAGATTGTAGCACAAATGCCGACCTTCTTTTACCAGGCTTCTGAACCCTGCAACACATAGCCATGACGTATGTGAATGTTTCCTGGATGTAACGAACTAGACGGGCTGATTATGGGGGTACAGGCGATGAGGGGACAGGAAAAGAGGCTACAGTTGTTCTGTCGTTCAAACTGCGCTCATCAAGATTTGTGAATAATTTTATTAGGTGGCACGGACCGTACAGAGGTTCACGCTTAAACGATAAAAAAATTGTGCCATTATTGTGCTCTATTGTGTCACTAACACACATCATCAAATCCTCTCGAGTGTAAATAAAGGTCATATTATACCGTAAGATATTAAATTATTGTAGAGTTTGAATTCAATTGCCCTTCTGTTTCAGTGGAATTTGCAACAAAGTTTAGGTTGCCTTACAGGTCAGCTTCCAAATCTTTCAAAAGGCTGACTGGCTAAAATTTTAACCAGCAGCCTGCTTTTGCATTTACAGTAAAGAAAACTTTGTCAGAGCAATGGTGTTGGAAATATGACTAGAGTTTGCACGTCCACAAGTTTAAACGTTGTGCACAAACCTGCGAGAGAGAAAAAGGGGCTTTTGAAGTGTAATTTCACACTTCCCTAGTCTTCCTGGAAAACATTGTGTGGCATCGAAATCTTCAGAAAAGCATGTGGCAGTGGAACGAATGTTATTACAGTGACAAAGGACAACAGCAGCAAACCCGAGACACACAAGGGGTTTTCGGAAGCTGCCTGCTTGTGTCAAGTGCCAAATGAAGTAAATGTTGAGTCTACATCTTGCTTTTCAACTTTCGATCCAGGACCCCCCTGATGGTTGCTTGCGAGGCCGGCTCGGTCCCCCTGGTCCAGCTTCTTGTGAGCAGAGGAGCGAGCGTAGGCGCCATCGACCAGGACAGCCGTACCGCTATGGATTACGCCACCAGGGCCGGCAAGGAGGAATGTTGCAAGGTTCTAGCCGGTACTGGCACACCTCGAAGGATGGGTGGTGAGTGGCTCCCCCTGTAGGGGGGCATTTCAGTGTAGTTTTTTTAAAACGGGGTTACCTTAGGACCACTAAATCTTTTGCTTACGTTCTATAAATATTGTCAGAAACGTTCCAACTAGTCGTATCCAAATCCTCGTGCCTCGATCGTCAGGGGCTCTCAAACTTTTAAATATGGAGGAATGTCTCAGTGTGGATGCAGTGAAGCGTATGCGGAAGCCTAGAGTCTTTGTAAACAGTGACGCACGTTACTAGGGAGCTTATGGCACACAGTTGTGCAGTCATGTGTCATATAGGTGCATAAACTGGAAAGTACTTTACCAAGGATAGGGATGACTGAGGAAATTTGAGAGCTCGGGGGAACCCTTGAGGGCATTCTGAGGAACCCAGGATTTGAACGTGTTTGAACCAGGGATGGGCAAAATACATGCAAATATGTATCGAAATACAAATACAAAATACTTCGTCAAAAATGTATTTGATTACAAATCTAATTACATTTCCAAAAAAGCATTTAAGTAAAAGATACAAATACAACCAAATGTATTTGGTCTCCTCCAAATACTTTTCCAAATACATTCCTCAAAATTTGCATCAGCGACTTCAGGGCACCTGCAACGGGTTTCTGGGTATCTCATTTTAATTTTGCATCGCACACTCGGGAGTTGGTGTGCGAGGCTCTAGTAACGCAATAGAAATATAATCACACACAAAAAAATGTAATCAGCTTAGACGTAATAGGGGAAAAAAGTACAGAGCTTCAAGCAGCTTTTTTTGTCGATTACATTTTGGTATAGACCAACAAAGAACCGAGACGACCAAAACGCGCAGCACTAGCTAGAGAATTTTTTATTGTTGCAACTCGCACCAGTTACGAAAATCCGGATGACCCGCGCATTTAGAATGTTCCAGGCAAAAATATGGACGGAAATCAGGCTGGAAAGCATCACAAGTTGTCACAGACACTTATTTAGCCAGTCTGCCTTTGAACGTCGATTTCGTCACTATTCTTGCCCTGGACTAGCATTGTAATCACGAAGTCACTAAACGCTTGTGCTTGATTGAGAGACACTGTATTCGGTGCAGAACGTAGTTTTCTTCCTGCTCTGGGCACGTCTTAGGATGAGCAAAATGAGTCGTGACAATAAACTTGAGGGATGCATTTTCGCCCACAAAATTGTATTTAATTACAATTGTATTTGAAATACCCACATTTTAGTATTTAAATACACACGTCAAATACATTGCCCAATTTGTAATTAAATACAAATGCAAAATACACAATTTGAAATACGTATTTCAAATTCTTGTATTTGAAATACTGCCCAACCCTGGTTTGAACAGCAAGTAGAGACGGGGCATCTTGGGTCTACCCACTAATCCCTCCAACCAGAGCTTGGTGCTTTGACGTCCCCGCACGCTCTCGTCTCCTCCTCTTTCTCAGTTTCTATTCGTAGGGCAAGATACGAATGCATATACTTAACTCAGCCCGGCCACGAAAGTTTTGTCAAAATGACTGGGTGTTCATATTAATACATATTAATCATGGTTCATGCTAACGTGACACAAGTACAGTTGGACGTTTCTTTTTTTTTCTTTTATAGATAAATGTAGTGACTAAGTTTCGATATGGGTGGCTTGTTCTGATACCAGGTCTCACTAGAAATGTATCTGACCATAAGAGGCATTTGAGTTTGGATGCTTAGGACCTGTTTTGTTGCAACTGAATTTTGACTTAAACTCTGGTCAAGGTCAAAGCTCATTTTAACAAACTTTCACAAAAAAAACCAAGAACAATTACAAAAGATATTTGTTTTTAAAAATTGTTTATAAGGGGAAAGAAAAATCCCAGATGTTGTAAAAGGCAATGTTTCAGGAAACTGGTATTTACGAAGCAAGGTGTCATCGAGGGCTCAGCACTGCGGCCTAGCAGTAAAGATAACTATTATTTTGTGAAATACAGGTTGCACTGCCCTATATCAAAGAAATAACTTATTTTTTTGTTTTATGTACAGGGCTGAAATGCAAATGTAATCCTGCATGTATGTATACAGTAATCTTTTAAATCTTCTTGCAGGTGATGCCGTTAACGGAGATCTGGATTCTTGGAAGTCTTCCACCGATTCGGAAGCAAGTGAGAAACAAAAGGTGAGGTTAAAGCATTAAATCTTTTGGCTCTTTTTTAAGACCGGCAAAATGTGTGAATTAACAAATATTTCTTGGTTCTGGAAATAGAGGCTACCTTTCAACGTGAGAAAAGCATCTTCCACAAGGTCCTCTCAAAAGTCAAATGCCGGTGAGTTATTTATGCTGTTCCTACGTGCGAATTTAAATATTCTTTAGGAAAAAAAAAAGATTGGCTTGCTTTGTGTGTGTATACACCCTTGATGGTGGTACGCCTCAACGGGTGATCTGTTTCTTAGCTGTAGATGAGAAATTTGGCCAGTGCAGTACAACCGCTAACCTGGGGTTGTTAACGTGCATCACGCAGTAGTGATTACACAAACGCGTGCTTATACGAAACTAATCCAGATCAAAACGGGCGGGGGCGGTGGGGATCGAACCTGGGAGGTTCCCAGTGCAAGCGTTCGCTCCACACTCCGAGCTGAGACGCATTAGCCCACTCGGCCTTTCCCTCCCCTATTCTTTAGGAAAGAGACAAAGTATACCTTTATATTCTTTTTCAAGGAATTTCAAATGGCCTGATCAGTTCTGTTTCTGACTGGTGGTTTGCCTTCCTTGGTATTACAAGCAAAATTTCGTCAGTTCATTGTGATACTAGAGAAATGTTTGTGCTAGAATCTGCAGTAGGGCAGTTTTAATAGTTTCTTTTGTGACTTTTCATTTGAGAATTACTTATGGTCTGTAGTATCAATGAACAGCAGAAGGTATAAGAAAAACAATACCTGATTTAAATGTTGGAGGAGTAAATCTATCATGCACGATTCTTATCACTTTGGAATTCTTTAGTCTATTAGGGGTAGCCCGGCTGAACTCGCGTTCCTGAGCTTTCACTTGTCCGCTTTTAAGTTCCGTTAGTTTTAGTCTAACTACATTTATGGACTGTGGTTTCAAAAAGCCCAATGGCTACGTTGGGATGCCAAGTACCGTAAATGACGTATTTGACACAAAATTCAATCTATAAAGATGACTAGCTTTACCTAATCGAGGGGATTTTAAAATTGTCGCGCTATATGAAAAAATCCTTTCTTCTAACTAATTTAAAACTAAAAAAACAAATCGGGAATGATGAATGCAGTTTGTCAGGACATCTCTGCTTAATGTATACTCTCGCATAATTAGGGTTTCGTGTTTTCGATAAATACCAATAAAACCCCGTGCCTTTAGTTAAGACACCAAAAATTGATATTGAAAAACCTCAAATCTTTTGGGAAAGAAAACAAGCCCCGAAAAAACAGCCACAAACTTAAAGAAAACTAAACCTGGAAAACACAAAACGTCATTGATAACGGCAGTTTAAGCTTAAAAAATTTTACTGCAATGTAGTAATGAATGTTCGCAAATTTTCCGTTTATTTTTAAATACACCAGGGGCGCATGCATAATCGCGCTTTGAAAGTGTGCAGTTTTTCCAAGAGTGCGACTGCGGTATTTATTTTCTAAGTGTTTATCGCGACAGGTTAACCCCTATTGAGCAGTACACTTTTTACGTAGCACCAGTGCATTGCGGAGAAGCAACGTCCACGGTCCGCGGGTGTTGCTTCTTTACGGTGCACCAGTGCTCGGTAAAAAGCGCACTCACCGCGGGTGTGGCTTCTCTGCGGTGCACTGGTGCTCCGTAAGAAACATGCTCAATAGGGTTGACCTGCTGCAGTCAACACTTAAAAAAATATAAATATTGAAATTCATTTTGAAGTAAATGTTGGATCACGTAGTCTTCTAAACTGCTAGTATTAGAAAAATATTCGCACAATCTCAATGTAGTATCATGGAACCTCTCGCAAACACCGCTGTAACTCGACGCACGCCGTGAGTGTCCAAGGTAAGAAAGTTTGACACTCTGTCCTCATGTCTAACTTGGGTGTTGCTATGTTATGACTCTTTTACCTCTTTTAATTTGGCATTTATGTCTTCAACACTCCTTATCTTTTTACGGACCAATGCACACATATATCGTCTACTTAATGAGTTCTGTTTAAAGGGACACTGAGAGGGTATGTATGCTTGCTAAGGTTTTTATTTGTACATGACGTATGAGAACCCAACTTCCCAGATCATTATTCTCGGCTTGATATTTGTTTTCTTTTCGCCTGGAAACCGCCGATCGAGAACTGGACGGTTTAGTCTCACTCTCTTCTTTGTGGTCATGTGCCGTTTTGTATGGTTTAGACACAACCACCAAAGTTAATCAAGGTTGTGGGCCATCGAAGGCACAAACTCAATACTAAAACTAGACAGAAAACAGGATATTCTTTTTTTTGTGGCTTCTAAAAAACTGCAAATATGTTGATTGAAGAAAAAAAAAAGTTGCACAGCCACGTGATTTCCATTAAATTTTTCGTTCTCTATATGTATTTCTTCCTCCTCCCCAGTCCAGTTTTGACTTCGGTTTCAAACAGTTGCGTTTTTTTACTTTATTAGAAATAAACATGACACTGTAGCAAAATATTGATTGAGTAGTTTTCTGACACCATAATAAATCGCCTGGCAAAAAATTAAAAAAGTTTTTTGGGGGTGTCGGTGTCCCTTTAAAGGGGTACTCCACCGATTTTTTGAGCTACCTCAACTAACTATATTTTCTGACTCCCCGGCCTTTACTCTCTCCGGTATGCTATTTAGAATCGCGAAATTCATAATAGGTATTGTGAAATCGGCAAATGAAAATGATGCAAAAACCAACATTCAGATATACGCACACTTTTCAGTGCCGTGACGTCAGTGGCAGGCAGGCTTGCTAGTCGAGCAAGCAGCCAAAAAATAGAATATGCCAATCATTTGTTCCGTGCTGGAGAGCGGGTACTGCAGCGAGCTTCCCAAGCATTCATTTGACACCATGAAACTGCTTCGAATCAGTTTAAAACAAAATCTAGAGCCCAAAGAGTGAACCCCTGCCTTCCACTGACGTCACTTTTTCATTGTTGGCAGTAGAGACTTCAAGCTTGAAAAACACGGTGACGACCAAAACTGTAAATTCAATAACTTCGCAAAAAAACAATATTTTGACTTAATATTTGGGATACCATTTTCGCGATGTTTGTTGGTTAGTTTAGCAAAATTTCAAGCAAATCGGAGACAATGAAGAAACCTGTGGAGTACCCCTTTAAGAGATGGCTTCAAGAAGATATGAAATTCGAATATTTGGGAACTGTAAACCACAAGGATTCTTCAGAGGCTTTTGTAAAGTGGGCCTTTTTCAAGTTTTTTGCCTCGTATTCGTTTGTTGAGCTCAAACTCCCGTCGATTCCAGATCAACCAATTAGCCTCAACGGCTTCAACGGCGTCGGTTCCGCAAAGTTTGGAAGATCTTTCAGCGTCGAGACCGGGTCGTCGAACCACAACCGACAGAGCTCGGACGGGCCGCTGCTGCAGACGATAGCGCTCGCCCCCCCGGACAAACCGAAGGAGGCGGAGCCTCAAGCAGCCGAGTCTCAAGACGTCCCCGACAAACCGCACTTCAAGGAGAACGACATCGGCAGCTGGCTGGCGGAGGGCGACTCCATCGAAGAAGACCCGGACGAGGAGGCGAAAGTGACTTCGCTGTACATTCCCTCCGCCTCTCAGAAGAGGAAGCCCGAGAAGGAAGACGACTTCCACAAGTCTGTCGAGGTGCTTCTTGCCTACGAAGGCCAGCAGCTCACGCGCGAGGCAGTGACGAAGAGCGTCGATGGGAAGGATGCGAAAAAGGCGGGCAACGGGGAGGCCGTTGTCGGAAAGGCCGAAAGTGTGAACGCGTCCCGCTCGCCGGAGAGCAGCGACTGGGATTCCACGGAAGGGGTTGCCACTCTTCCTCGACATCAGGTTGCAAGCGTACGTATCGAGCCTTGTGTCCTCTATTGAGAGTGCTTGCTGTTAGGGTGCCTTGAACTCTAGGTCTCTTCTCGCGTGTCAACGTTTATTTTTTTAATGTGTTCTTTTTATGGAGAGTAAAGTTGTTACTCTGTGCGTAAATCATGTTTTTTTTTGTTTTTTTCCCGACCTTTGGCTTGCAACTAATTCTTCTATTTTTACACTATCTCAATTTAGTGACAATGTTTTATGTCATAAATCTTTAGAATCTTTTTTGACTATACTGGACATTTGTAATCTCTATTTTGAGTGGATAAATTAAGGTTGTGGCCTTGCAGGTTGCGTACATTTGCCAGATATGCAGAGCACAAGTCGGTCTGCTTTTTTTGCGAGGGTTGTGGTGACGCCAGAATGCCGAGCTCTGATTGGCTATGATTGAAGGATAGTGGGTAGCCCTTAAAGCAACCAGCCTTGAGGTCTACCCACTATCCTTCAATCAGAGCAAATCAGAGCTCTACGTTTTGACCTCACCGCAACCCCTGCAAAAGAAGCAGACGAACTTGCACGCATGCATTGAATTATGAACCACGCAAACATATTGCCTATATTACGATAATAGGTATATGGAGTTCATGAAGCAGTCTACTTCTTGATTACAGAATTTCATTGCCTCGAATATTTCGAGGCAATGAATCTTCCAGCGGCTTGTGAGAAAGTTGTTGAAATGTGAAGCCCACAAGATATAGTCCTCTATGCCATATTAATGGCAGCTTGAGGAAGTATAAGTTTACATCTACCAGAATGCCAACATCAAGGTCTAATGTCTCCTGAATTATTTACTCTATTTCACTGTGCCTGAAGCACATCTGAAACGTTGAGTTATGTTATAGCTTGCCTCACCAGTCCCCTGTAGTGTTACTTATGTATGCTAAGCCACCTCGGTGGCTCTGAGACAAAAGCACTGGCCTACAGATCCTTGGTTTACAGATTCAAATCCCGGACAAGGTGCCCGCACTCTGACGGAGGCTCATTACGGAGAAAGCTCGGTGTTACCGAGGTTTCGTTGGCATGTAAAAGAACGTCCAGGTGGTCAAAATTAATCCCCATTCCTCCGATGGGGCGTGCCAGTTGGCTTCCGAAATAAGTGCGAGCTATATAGCTGACTCTGCAATGTTCTCCTGTGATGCCAGGAGAATTATCATATTTTACAGTGTATAAGTTGCAGATTTCTTTGCAAAATTTCCGTTAATTAATGCGTCCTCTACAATTTAGTGCAACTTAAATGCATTTTTTTTTTTTTTTCTTATGGAGTTTAACTGTAGCATTTTGCCTCGGGGATTACATTTCTCAATCAATTTGTTTACAAGAATGTTAAAGCTGGCTGCACATATCGCAATCACAATACACATATGCTGGCTTATCAGTGCAGTTTCGCTGTGCCGACCGCACAAGTGTACACATTAGACTTATTCAAAGGTGCAACTTGCGTGTAGCTACATATTTGCGAACACGCCCGTTTATAGGGGGGTGCTACTTACCTAGTATACAGTGATGTTACTTTTAAACAAAAAAAGATTGTAGTCTCATTTCGAACAAAAGCATTTTATTTCTCCTGAAAGCTTGTTTTGTGCTTGAAGTAGTAGCACTTAAAAAATTGCTAAGGTTGTTTTATTCACCTCCAAAGAGGCTTTCTAACTTGAAGGCTTGTATTGTAAATATTTAAGCATTTGTGCAAATCAAACATTTAGTGTATTCTTGCAAAGTAGAGTTTACGTCACTTACTGCCTTAGGAAGATGGGAGGCATGAAGAGATCTGCAAGCTTTCACAAAAAAATAAAATAAAATGATAGTCCCGAACGGGAATCATAAAAGCAAGATAATAAAAATATGGGAAAGGGGGTGCTCATGTAGCAAATTCGTTTGCATTGCTAGTAGGTTCTTCATAGATCGAAGCAAACAAAAGAAGTTTTTGGGCACCAAAAATTTGTCACTTTCTCCTTCTGTGGATACCAATGACTGAGTCATCTTCGTGTGCTCTGTGGAAAACTAGACCTGTTGGTTTTTTCTTAGAAGAAATGGGGTGGCAGTTGTGTGCAAGTAGATGCAGCACCCCACCACAGTTCTGCAGTCTGTATGTGTTTTCCAAGCAGTTTCTGTTTCTTGCAGCCACCCCAGGAAGGTACACTGGGCAGGGTTGACACTCTTCAGGGAACTGAAGAGATATGGGAGAAGAACCCCATCCTGCCCCCAGATGCAGAGGAGACTCCCAAGCACTTGGCCACCCCCGAGCAGGATCCACAGGCTGATGGTGAGGATGACGCACTTCAGTTTTAATCTCGGATGTAACGGAGTAGATAAAATCCGCAATTTAGTAATGTTACATTAAAACTTTGCTGCATCAAACTTTTGTTTCCAGCGTGCGAAGCACATCCAAAGCAGCCAGTTTTTGGTTCTGTAGTAATGTATGTTTTTGTAAGTGTAGAAAAATTCTAATGACAATACTGAGAAAAGTAGTTCGCAACCCTCGTTTGTGCCTTGTTAGATAGTGGCACCGGCTTCACACTGTGTTTGAGGACCCATAGGGTTCGCAGAGCATCCTGTAGTTCAACAACGTGATTGCACCGTCTACTTCTCGGGAGCTCAGCACTCCAAACAGTCTTCGAAATCAGCCTCACAATCTTCATCGTCCTGTTGGGAGTTTCAAAACTGATCCTCTATAATGTTATTGTAGGTTACTCCTTCTGTTGCTGCTAGGTATGTACAAGTCCCCATGCATAGAGGTTGACTTTCATGATCGATCGGCGAGGAGACAAGTGCCGTGTCGGCGTTTGGCTGCCATCGGATTTTCTAGTTCCGTCGCCCGTGCGAGAACCGGTTAGGTACCTGGCGCGCGACACGTTCCGCATTAAAAACATTTTGAGTAAAACTCCCGACATGTCTGCTTTTCTTTCATTTAGAGGACGACGCACCGCAGAGGCCTCCCAGGTTCAGCAAGAACCGGCTCAGGAGTTCGTGGAGCTCGTCCTCTTCGTCGTCGGTCCCCTCTCGGACCGGTCCCCTGGTCGTCGGGGGGTTGGGAAGACGCAGCACGGCGACGAAGAAGGAAGGGGAAGAGAGCGAGGCCGGGAGCTCGTCTCCGCAGCCGGACGACGCGCCGAGAAACCGGGAGCCGCCTCGCAGTGCTGCCAACGGGAACGTCGTCGGCAAGACGCAGGGGTCGCCAGAAGCATCCGCCCGCAACAGCCGCGAAAAGGAGAATGCGTTACTAAGGTACGGAGCACGAAGTAAAGGGAGATGCCCCCAACGACGGCCAAAACCAAGAGACGCTGTTGGACGAAAAGGAGAGCCGACTTGGCGCCAACAGCTCTCCTTTTTCGTCCAATAGCGTCCCTTGGTTTGGATCGTCATTGGGGATGTGTCCCTCCACGCTTGTGGCTTCACCCCTGGTGGCGTCGTGTCACCTCCAAAAGCTTCCTACCTCCGTGGTATGGAAGATCAGATATTGGGTTTGGTTTGGGCACCATGTTTCATTCCTTTAGGTCCGTCGCTCCCCTACTCTGTCGGACTACGGCTCGTCTGCACGGTGACTCCGTAAAAACAAACGCGATTAATTACGAGGCCTGGTTGTGGCCCTCAGAGATGTCTTTTTTTCTTTTGTCATTATTCTCGTTTTTGCCGAGTTACCGTACATCACTATGCCACGGTGAAGTGGGGCAACATAGCCCTCTTATGTAGCAGTCTAACTGATGTTGAACTTCCGTTGCGACATGCTTCCCTAACGAAAGTTTTTGAAATCTAGCGCGAGACTTCAGAATGTGTACACTGAACTTCCAATTTGACGAGCGCATTTAGTGCTGCTGCAGAGTTTATGACGGGGCCTATTTACTCGAAATTCAGGTTCGTACTTGGTGTACAGCGCTGTCAAAGATGGTGGCGCGAGCATTCGGCTCAATCTTTTTGTTCACTTGCGCCATGCTCCCATGAAAATGAGATGCTAGGTAAAGCAATACACCAACACCAGTAGCTTCGGCAGCATTTTGCATCAAGTATGAAGCAGGGTACAGTCGACACTCATTAATTCATACTCCAGGAAGCCACAAACTTTAGTTTGAAATATCAGAAGTCTGAACTATCAGAAATTCATCTAAATATTATCGAGGCAAAGTACAATTTGCTATACAAATAGCTACACATACCAGGCAGATTTTTTACACTTTCTTCCACATAGGCCTATTTATTAGCAGGCACACACAAAACATTGGTGAAGTTCGACGCGAACAGTAGTTTTGGCCGAATCTTTTCTAATCGAACATTGAATAGTTTCTCCAAGCCTTTTACTACCGTTTCACCTTGCCTAAACGAAGATTCAGCTGAACTCGTGAAGGTTCTTCCCAACATCCACTTCTCCACCTCTAAGCTCAGTTTGTTTTAATATAACTGTATCTATGAACCATGGCCTCAGAAAGTCCAATGCCTACATTAAGGTGGCATGTAAATGACAGATGAGATATGTAATTAAACCTAAAGAGACGCCCAGGTCTCCTAATCGAGGGAATTTATAAATCCGCTTGCAATATACAAATATTCTTTCTTTAATCTTGAATTTATTTCCCTCAGAAATATAAAAAAATAAAACAAGCATGAATACTGAAAGCAGATTGTCAGGACAGTTCAGCTTGCATAATCGCGGTGGGTTAGTTTATCAAGTGCGGTCCTCACCGAGCACCAGCATGCTGCAGAAAAGCTATGACCACAAGCTTTGTGGGTATTGCTTTCCCACAGTACATAGGTGCTCGGTGAGAAGCTCATTCAGCGGGGCTAACCCGTCAGGATGAAATGAATTAAACGCTGTTCGCAGCTCGTAAATGCATTAAAAACGTAGTGGGACAAACAAAATTTTTTTATTCATCTGAATTAACCGGAAGTAGAAAATATCAAAGTTTGAATTATCGCAAGCAACCCTTTGACGGTAGAGTTTTTCTTTTTCCAAAAAGATGTCTCCCAGTGGTCGGGTTTTGTTCCCAAAGAAATAGTATAAACGAGGGGTCAATGCGCAGGTTTCTTCCTTATTACCTAGAGTGAGCACGTACAGTGCTTGCAAGCTGTTTAGGTTCCGAAGCATCAAATGAATAAATTGAAGGCGAAAAGGTGTCGCCTTTCTTCCATTCGGATTAATTTTGGTGCATCAACTTCTGCGACATTCCAGGAGCTTGAGATTCCAAAGCCGGCGGAACTTACGGAGCTTCTTTGTCAGGGGATAAGCTCTCATTTTCCGAATTTAATTCCGAAAAGCGTTGGACGTCTCGATCAAAGAGTCAGTGCTCCCGTTGGCACTACCGCCAGGGCGGCCAATATGCGAAACGAGCATCGCGTGTACGGAGCGTCTAATTTTGAAACTGTAATTATCCCAGCAAAGTGAAACACTGTGCAAATACGTTTACACTTCATCAAAGACATGACAAATAGCAACACCTCCCGCGTTGCGCGCAGTTTCGCGTTTAGGCAGCCGCTTCCAATTGTGTAGGTAGTCACCACCGTGCATGTACGGCGATGACCGTCAGAAGGTTAATATCATGTAAGGTAAACAACTTAAAACTTTAAAACAAGCTTTTTTTTTTCTTTTTGAGATGATTTTGATGGCTTTACACAAGAAGTGCTTTATCTACCAAAAAATACCGGGCAAGCATCCACCCACAATCCGGAGGTAATCTCGAAAAACTGAGAAAGGGGTGCGCGTAAGGTCCCTAGCTACACAAATGCAGAAGGGGGACACAGGAAGGGGTGGGCTTCTCTGCCCACCGACTTGCTCGGAGGAGCAGCTGACGCAGTAGAAAATCTCGGTTAGCCTGGTGGGCTCAGAAGTCTTGGAGGGCGCTTGATATGCCCTTTGCTTGTTTTTCAAATGTTCCATAAGTAGTGGGTTGGCGCTATTACAATATGGGCGCATGCTCGGTATTTTATGGTAAGTCTGCAATGTTGAATTTTTAGACTACAGGTGATCATTCTCTTGTGATTACAATGCTGGGGCCAGGCCAGGAATAATGTTATACTGTATAAGGTTCATTTTATGCACAATGTTTACACTTGCACATACTCATTTACATAATTCAACAGATGATAATTCAATGTAACTTTGCCTTTTTGTTTCCCTTCCATCTTCTTCACCTAAACTAAAAAGTGATAATAAAAGAAGTTACAGTTGTTTTGTTGTTCTTTTTGCAAAAATTAATAATGTATTGTGGAGCGCTTATTTTCTACCCAGTTGTAGCGCTTGCGGTCCAGAGCAGACACCAAAGTTTCAGAACTAGCTGTTATCTTATTTAAAAGTCATACGTGATTTTATGAAAATTTTTTATGGAAAAACGGCAGAGCTCTTGAATACATGCAGCTGAATGGCGCTAGTTACCAAGTGTGGGTCCCATTCTCCCATCCAAATTTTTTAAAATTACTTAAAACTTTTAAACGAGTTTGAGAGCAGTTTGCTCTCAAACTTTGACATCTGGTTCAAACCAGTAGCGCTGCCTTTGGGCAGAGAATAAGCGTTTAATAATGCATAATTTTTTTTTTCTTCACTGAAAAGTATTTTTTTATATTTTTGGGAGGGGCACCCTGTACAACTTTACAACTTAAAATGTTTTTCAAGCAGGCCTATGAAAATAAATGGGGGAAGCGGATCTGATCCTGAGGCCCTGGTTGCAACCCTTCAGATGCAAGTCAGTTCTGCCAAGTATGTTTCTGAATCCCTACACCAAGAAAACGGAGAAGTTTGCAAAGTTGTCACAATTCCCTTTTCTTTTACCTACGACAGATCCGATCTTCAAGAGCAAGTTGAACAACGCAAAGTGGCCGAATCCCTCGCTAGGGAACTGCAGTTGCAGCTTAGCAGGAGAGAGGAGGCTATCATGAGGTTTGTGAATACGATTCCATTATCCAGTACACCATTACTCTAACTATGCCAACGAGGTTAGCTCTCTACCTTTCTGGTTCTTTTTTTTTTTTTTTAGTTGCTTATATGAATAAATAGAAACTTGCCGTTCCTGCACTTCGCATCTTTAACACTGGATGGCACTGCTCGTTTTAGGGTTGCCCATTTCCTTGTTTACCAGTGACCCCTTAACGTTTCTGATGTGAAATGGTAATCGATCAGATAAGTCAATTTTAAAAACCTTCAAGTATCTGTCTTAAAAAGAATTGGCGTAGCCATCTAATCACTCTCTGGAACAAGAGCAGCGAAACATCTGGCTCTCCATAGATTTCTTAAAGGAGCAGATTCTAAATGTTACAAATTTGTGTGTAGCTGGTCTAACCACTTGTTTTTTGTTTTCGCTTTGTTTTTCAGAGATGTCGAAACGAAAGATACTATTGATGGTAAATTAGCTGATTTGGAACAGGAATTGAAAAGTGCCAAGGGACTGATCAAAGATGTAAGTGTGTTTCTTATTCCTAATGTTGATGAGCTGAGCAGAGTAAAAAGTACTATCTGCGGCAGAAAACAACTGATGCACGAGAGTAATTAAAAAAATACAGTTTATAGTACCATAACTGAATTTATATATGGTTATGACAGTATAATTAGCATATTTCGGATGTCACGATCGCAGTACTGCCATACCTGAAAGGTTCTGTCATAAAACTTTGAGCATTGCATTAATTTATATTTTCGGTTTTGCAAAAAATGAAGCGCTGCTAAGCTGTTGAATTTACAGCATAGAGATGACAAGGAATTAAGTATTGTATTTACTCGACTCTAGCGTGACCATGATTGTAACGCGAGAGGCAACTTTTCATTCTGCCCTGCAAAAGAAAAAACACCATGAATGTAATGCGAGACCAACGGAGGCGCAAGAAAGTATGTTTTTTTTAAAGACATCGCGGCCAACACTTGCCAACTCCGGGGTAGCTCTCAGTCCCTCTTCGTCGTCTTCGTCGTCAGAAGTGGAGTTCTTTTTCTCGCTGTCCTCTTCCCTGGCGATGTCATCCTCCACGCCATTGAGGTCATTGGATTCCGAGCACTTCTCCATGCGGCAGACACCCACCCAGCAACGGTCGATGCGCTCGGTTGCTTAATCCTTCCTGAACGCGTCGAGGCTTGATCTTGATGAATCTAGTCTGTGTAAAGCTGCCACATGCTGTCCTTAAAAGGCTTACTGAGACAGGCGTCTAGCGGCCGGAGCGCAAATGTCATTCCTCCAAGAATAACGGCAAAACACATTTTCATTTCTCTCAGTTTCTTTTTCACTTGAGAAGTCAGGTGCCCGCCAAATAAGTCCAGGACCAGCATTGATGTGGTGTGAAGAAGCGCGCCCGGTCGTCGGCACCACATCGTGTTGATCCACTCAATCACGGGCAACGAATCCATCCATTCCTTTTCCTGGCAGCGTACAATCACACTGTGCGGGACCATCTCCTTGGAGGTGATTTTGCACCGAAAAATAATGTAGGGCGGTAACTTATGACCATCTGCCAAGCGCGCCAGCATCACTGTCAGCCGGGTCTTCTCGTTTCCAGTAGATTGAATCCAAACTTCAGTCACCAACTCTGAGCACTGTCCTCGACATCGGCATGTCTATGTATACTTGAGTCTGGTTCGTATTGCCTATATGCCCCAATAGCATCTTCAGTGAACGACGCAAGTCGATTACCTCCGAGGAGAGAGCGCTGGCCTACGGATCCCCATGTGGCGGGTTCGAATCCCGACCGAGGTACCCGCAATCTGAATCTGACGGAGGCTTATTGCGGAGGAGGCGCCGTGTAACCGAGCTTTCGGCTGCACGTTAAAAGGTCCCCAGGTGGTCCAAATTAATCCTCAGTCCTCGGCTGGGGCGTGCCAGATGCCCGTTGTTGGTTTGGCACCTAAAACCCCCAAATTTGGCAAGTCAATTATCGTATTTACTCGCACAATGAACGCACTTGCGTAATGAACGCACCCACCAAGTTAGCTCTCAAAATTTCGATTTTTTTTTCACTCGCGTAATATACGTACCCCCCACTCGGATGTCAAAATTTTGACTCCCTCCCTCCCCCCTCCCCCCCCCCCGCGCGCGAAATGAACGCACTTTTTATCCTGGTGCAGCGAGGTCGCGAATGTATGGGCAGGGTGGGCGAACAAAACGCCTTGCAAAAGGCGTTAAAAAAATTTGCAAAGATCCAAGGGGCGCAAGAAAAAAACATGGAGAGGAGCTTCTTTTTTTTTTGCACAGCGCAGTCTGGACTTTAGGTTCGCGCGCCGCCGCGCGCAAGGAGGTAAGTAAGAGAAGCGGAGAAGCGCTCTAAGCGAACGAAACAGCTTGCGAAAAGTGGTAATAGGAAAAAAAAAAACCCGCGGAACTGAGAAAAAAACAAAAGAAAAAGAGGAGCGTTTTTTTTTCTTTTTGCACAGCGCAGTTTGGTTACCGGGGTCGTGCGCCGCGCCCAAGGAGATAAGAAAGATAAGCAGAGAGCCCACGCCTGAGCAACGCCTAAGCAAACAAAACAGCTTGCAAAAGGCGGCAAAAAAAAAAAAAAAGCCACCCAAGGAACTAAGAGAAAAAGAAACAAAGAGGATTTTTTTTTTTTTTTTGCACAGCTTAGTTTGGTTACGGGGTCAGGCGTCGGGCGTCGCGCGCAAAGAGATAAGAAGTTACTTCGATTTTTCAGGATAAAAGGTCAGTTCATTATGCGAGTAAATATGGACTCAAAAATGTTGCTTCGCGTAATGAACGCTCCCCCAACTTTGCATCGATTTTTCAGAAAAAAAAGTGTATTCATTCTGCCAGTAAATACGGTACGCTGAAACTTGACTAGCTTTACCTCGTTGTCTGCCGGCAACTTCTCCTTCTGGGGATCGACGTGGTTCGCTAGAGAGAAAATCAGTTTCTTGGCATGAATTTCTGTGCCCATCCGCCTGAGGCCTTGAAAATATTCCAGAATACTCCCATCTGTCGAGCGAGGTCTCGGGCTTTCCACTTGATCAGATCTGCGCTGACTCCAAGGGGGCGGTTTTGCTGCGCTATTACAAACTTCGGAACTTTCTGCTCCAGTTCCAACTGACAGCCGTGACGAGGTCCAATGGAAGCCTTTTCGCCGATTCCTCCATCCGCGAATCGTAGATTCGTTGAGGTTCAGCCGTCGAGCTGCAACGCAGTTGCCAAGCTCTTCTGCCAACAAAATGGCCTTTTTCTAAGTTTGTGCCATACTGGGCACATCACGTTGCCATCAGTTTTGGTAGGAGGTTTGACGTCTCAAAACCGTGAGAAGAGAATGTTCCAGAATCATAAAGCAATGTAGAATAACAAAGTCAACCATAACCGCACCATAACTGCCAGATTCGACGAGACAAAGAACACTACAACGAGAACCATGGCTAAAACAACATTTTGATTGATTTTGATCTGGATCCGACTATTTTCATTGATAGAATCCATATAGGCATATGTTGGTAGGACAAGACTGAAAAGCCGTAGGTTAACATACCGTATTTGCACGAATATAACGCGACCACGAATATAACGCGAGGGCAGGTTTTGATGCCCTCAAGAAGAAAAAAAATATATTATTACTATTATAACGCGAACCGAGGCCGCGTCAATTTCTCGCACTCAGGGGCATAGCAGATGTGAAAAGTCAATGGAAATAGAAGAAATATCAGTTTATGTTTTGACTACACTCATCCTCACTCTTCAGGTCCTTCCGTTTACAATCCACTTGGCGACTACGCAGATAAGCAGCAGCACGGCACCTGCTTGTCTGGTAGTTCTCTTTTCTTGCGAGCTCCACGGCAGCCCACAATCCAAACAAGGCACGAAGCAGAAGCACCAACACACAAACACGAGATCACTCTGGAGCAGAAACTAAACAATGCGCAGGCAGAAAAAAATACAACTGAATCCGATACACGATCACACTTCTTGTTCTGGTCCCTCTGCATAAACAAATGCCTCGTGTTGCACGATTGCGTAAACGCGGTTGGTGGTCTTAACTTGGCTTGTGTTGACTCGGCCCGGCTTGGCTTGGCTCGAATTGGCCAGTGCCCGCATTCCCGCATGATGCGCGCGCGCGCCGAGTTTCTGCGGTTTCTGCGGCGTGCGTGCGTTGTACAAACACAAAAGCAATAAAAATGCTTTATGTTTTCTATTCTCCCCCTCACGTGGCCCAATAGCTAATAAATTCCCTTCCACACCCCCACTGCTTTTCCCACCGGATAATTTGCATTGAGCCGGAGGCACCGGAGGGATGGCTTTCTCCTCTGGCTTTCTCCAGACTCGCGCGCCTCGTGGCTGAACTCGATTCCGAATATAACGCGAGGTGCGTTTTGGAGCACGTAATTTCGAAAAAAAACTCGCGTTATATTTGTGCAAATACGGTAGTTCAGGGGTGGCCAAGCTGCGGCTCGTGAGCCGCATGCGGCTCTTCGCGTGCCAAAGTGCGGCTCACGGCTCCCTCTTCTCCCTCTTCTTACCCCTCCCCCCTCCCCCGCCACCCTCCCGTTCACACAAGCACTTCCCCCAAAAGAGACATGGAACGCGTTTTAAATCGAAAGACAGGTTGCGGTTTGGTAGTCTTGTGCTGTCTTACGTACAGTTAAACTGCTTTTGACTGGGATAGATTGAAAGTACTTCGAGTTTCGTTTATTGCTCTGGACAAGTTTGCCCCCCCGCGGCTCTTGGAAGTTTCGTGATTTTGTTTGCGGCTCTTAGGCCGGGTCAGCCTGGCCACCCCTGACATAGTTAGTATTTCAAAATGGCTAGCCAATTTCAGGGTGACTTGATTATAATGCGAAAGCCAACATTAGGTAACCAATTTTTTTAAAACAAACTCGCATTACATTTGAGAAAATACGGTACACTGAAGCCTGCCACACTTTGCATCACTACAATCAGACATCTCTTGCTCAAACACCTATTTATGTGTACTGTGCATGATGACTGCCTGAGCTGAGGCCTCACACTACGCTGCATTTATCCCTGGAAAGCTTATTAGAAAATGTTGCGTCTTTGCCATGGTTTTTCACGACAGTTGCATCACGAAATCGAATCTCTACAAAAGCATCTGAATTGCTACAAAGAGTCTGCAAATGTGTACAAAGAAGCAAGTGAAAAGCAGGAAAATCTATTCAAGGTAAAAGCGAGCAACATTTTTTTTTTTAAGATCATAGATGTAGCTTTCAACATGGTTTAAACTTTGCCGCATGACATGCTCTTCCACTCTAGGAACTCCTCTCCGAAAAGGAAAAGTTTTGGGCCGAAGAAAGAGAAAAGATGTTGTCTCAGCTGAAAGAGAAAGATGCCTTAGCGTCGACAGCACAGACAACTACAGAGGTTTGTCCACTTTTCCAAAGCATCCCCCTTCCCCCCTCCCCCCTCCCAATATCACTAGTTTGTCTACAAAAACTTCTCTTTCTTTATAGTTCCTCACCATACAAGAAAAGCTAGTCGCCCTACACGAAGTGTTGGCCTCCCTCAATCTCAAGGCAGACGCGACCTGCGACGCTACCTCCGCCGCGGATGGAATCTCCAAGCTACTCCAGCTTTCTAACTCCGCACTGGGCGACCTTCAGAAGCTCTCCGAGAGTGCAGAGCACACGACATCGCTGCTCCGCAACATCGACGAAAACCTCCAGGGAACCAACGACAGGCAGCTCGGCATCAATCAGTTGCTGGAAGCGTCTCAGAAGCTGGAAGGGCTTTCGTCTTGGACGCAGAACTGCGAGGGAATCGGCCAGACCTTGGAGCGCCTCGAGACGAACCAGAAAGCCCTGACGAACACCCTGGGAGAGCTGCAGTCACTTTTTGCCACAGGACACGATTCCGGCTCATTGCCCCGTCGGAGGGAGGAGTCCGGCAACCTTGAAGCATCCGACCTTTTAGACATCAAGGAGGGCGTGACCCGTGTTCTCCGCAGGCTCGACCGGTTCGCAGACGAGATCAAGACGGCCTCCGGCGTCGAGGGGACGAAGGCGACCCAGAAAGTAGTGGAGTCTTTCAGCGAGTACCATTCGTCCACGAAGCAGGAGATGCTGAATCTGCTGAACAAAGTATCGTGCGAGCAAAAGGCGCAGGTGGATCGAGTCGTTCGCAACACCTCGGGGATGTCGGAGGAATTTGCCGAGATTCGGCTGAACCAGAGTACGGCGCTGAAGCAGCTCCAGAGCCTCAAGGACGAGCTGATCCAGATGGATACGAGCGGGATGTTTGCCAGGTTGGAGTCCTCTCAGGAAAAGAGTGTGCAGCATGTGACGAGGATGGTCGAGCCCGTGTCTGCGGAATTGAAGAACATGCAGGTGAGATGACGGCGTTCGATTGTCCTTTCTTGCGTAGGTGCTTGTGAAAACGAGGACGCCAACTGCGAGGTTTGCTGGAGGTGCGTTTTCTCTCCGTTCAAGCTTTGCTGCAAGAGCTTACTACTGCTATCCACTCTGAAGCATCAGGTATACTGAGGTTGTCATATTGACAAAGTATAAATATTATTTATTATAAAGAAGATAAAGAGAGCCGGTTAAGCGTGTTCCTTAGTGCACGAAATTCGGATCTCAACTGCCCCAGTCAGGGAGCATCACCCTGTGAGACAGTGCATGCTTCAGTAAGGAGGATGATGAAGACGTTCGGTAACTTTCCTACAATATTGCCAATATGAAATGTAGATGTCATAATCTGTTCATGGAGTATTGTTCTCCTCTTAGGCTTTTTTTAGTCATTAGGGTCAACTCAATATGTCAATAAAATATTTATTCTTGCTGGTACTCCTCAAATTTCTTAAAGGGCACCTTTTCTGTTGAGTACTGTTCTCAAGTGAGGGGAAGGGAAAGGTATAGTTAATTATTGTAATGTTTTAATAAGTAGGTATAACTAAGGGCTATACAGTAATACCTCGTTAATTTGGATCTCATGGGACCGGCAAAAATGTCCGAATTATCTGAAAGTCGAAATACCGAAGGACAAAGAAAACTGCTCGAAAACGTTTCCCTGTGACATACCTTTATTTTGAGAAGAAATCTGTTATTGCCGCCTGCTTTCTGGACGACATTTGGGTGGAGACGGCAACTTTCCTTAGCGCGGTCGAGTGCTCCACCGCACTCGCACTGTCAGAGCTATGCTGACAATTTAGCGCAGCAAGGCCTCTTCTACTTTCGGGTACACCACCTTCCACAGCCGCTTTCTTTTCGCATTGAACTTCTCGCTCTCAAAACCCTGTAGGATCTCAGCCTCAGTTTTCACGTAAGTGGCCGAAGTGCTTCTTTTGACGTCGTAACTTTCCATCACTTGTTGTCGAGAGACGCCGTCCTTCAAGGCCCTCAGTATTTCCACTTTCATCACTAAATTCTTGGCCTGGTACAGCTGCAACAAAAAACGAGTTGCACAACTGACCAATGATCGGAGCGGCAAAATTGTAACACCCGGCGCTATTTTTCCCTAGCGCGCTGATAGCGAGAGTGCCAGTCACGTTGCATGTTTCAACGCGGGGGTGGCCGACGAAAAATTGAGGGATAAGATAGCTGTTAAAATGCAGGCTTTAGGATGGGCTGCTTTCTGCCGGCCACCCCGCGTTGAGGCATGAAATGTGACTGTCACCCTCGCTATCGTCGCGCTCGGAAACAATAGCACCGCTTGTCGCGATTTTGCCGCTCCGGTCGTCGGTCACTTGTGCTACTCTGTTTCCGTTGCAACTATGCTTCTGCTGATTCCATACCAGGGGAGTAGCGCGCTGACGCACGGCAATCCAGAGCAAAACTGGTGCGAAACACGGAGAACCGGAAGAGCAAAGAACCATGTGTGCACCTCGGATGGATAGCGGTCATACCCTTTGGAACGGATGGTAGCTAGCGCCGCCTGCTGAATTCGCCTGAATTAACCATAGCGTGCCGCGTTCCCTCCGTATTAATGAGCGTTTGGTGCCACTGACTAATACACACATTTGACGGGACCAAAACGGCAGTTCGGATTCCCGAATTAGCTGGGGTCGAATTAACGTGGTTTTGCTGTACACTGGAAAACTTACTCGAAAATTGGAACATTTCGTCTCAATCTGAGAAAAGACAACTTTTATTGCCCTGGTTGACTGATGAGGCTGGGCTTTGCGGACCCCTAGAATGCCTTCGTGGACCCCAAAGAGGTGGCGGACCTCCGTTGCAGGTTCAGAAAAGCGTCCACTCTCCTGCTCTCCAGCGTTCACACTGCTAAAGTGGAAAGGGTGGACTGCTTTCTGTAAGGAGCTTGTCCCACTTTTCTTAACCTGCAGCAGACTATAGTTCTATGTTCATGACCCCCTAATTCGTCTTGCTAACTACGGGACCACACTCTGCAAATAACATTGTGCAACCTGCTTTCCCATCTCCCTCAGGCCACGTTGCAGAGACAGCACGAAGTGCTCGTCACAAAGATATCGGAGCCGGCACAGCCGGGCGTGGCGCCAGAGCAGTGGCAGGGCGTCATAGAGCGCCTGGACTGCCTCCTGGACCAGACCAGCTCCCTGCAGGCCAAGGAGAGGGCGGGCCGGCTCGAGAGGCTCTCTGCAGACCTGAGGGAGGTGTCTCCCGAGAACGACCTCCCCACCCTGCTGGGGGGCCTCACCAACGCCCTGGCCGACCTGAAGGGAGAGGTGCGCAGGCAGCAGGGCTCGGGCTTCGAGAGGCGCGCAAGCCTCCCGGTCAGTGCTTGCACCGCATGCTCCCCTACAAGTAGTCTGCAGTGTTGCCTAAGCTTCATCTATGGAAATAACTGATGAGGCATACAGGGTACATGATCTTTACTGGCTGCTCTGCTTAGCTTGATTGAGGTGGCATCTTTGGCACAGTTGTTTTATCTTCTACATTAAGAAACGAGTGACAGCAGTATATATAGAATGTTTGGGAGCTTTTTTAAAAGTTTAAAATAAAGTCGTTAAAGGGACACTGACACCCCCCCAAAATTTTTTTTTTTCACTTTTTGCCAGGCGTTTTATTATGGTTGTCGGAGGACTACCCAATTAATATTTTGCAACAGAGTAGCATATTTTTGTAATAAAGCCAAAAGACGCAACTGCTCGAAACCGAAACTCGCGCATGGAGGTCGGAGAGTGGAGAGGAGTGTGTGAGTGGCGGAAGTCACGTGGCTACACCCGACCGTGCGTTTTTTTTTCCCCTTTTTTTCTGCCTAGCAGACGATATGAGGCGTAACGGGAACTGTTCGCCGTGAGATTCTTTTGCAGTTATGTTTGTTCTACTTGCTGTTCTGTACTCCAAAATGAGTTGTTTTGTACATTCAGGAGTTGGATATGAGTAGTGAGTGCCCGTGGTGAATTTCCATGGTCGGCTTCGAAAAAAATACACCCAAGATGTTGAGTGAAGAGCTGGCTTACATGTCCTGCGTCCGAAAAAAGTGGCATTGTGCGACAAAGTTTCCGATAGATCAACGGGATCACAACCAATGGCTGGCTGCAATTCCTGTAGAACATTTACGGCCACCTCGGGACGTGGACGCTATCTGTTTTATATGTTCCTTGCATTTTGTGGAAAGTGATTACATTGAGGTCGCAGGTGTCAAAAAGGAAATTCCACACCGTTTAATTCAGCGACGTTTCATCCACAACATTGGTTTGTTATTTTTTATTTGTTTCTTCAGTGATAATTGAAAAAGAAAAAAAAAAAAAGAAATGTAAACATCAAAAATATCTAGAAAAAGAAAAAAAAAAAAAAATGAAATTCGCTTTAGCGGGGATTGAACCCGGTCCTGCCACGTGTGGAGGTGTGGAGCGGAAGACTTTCCCACTGAGCTACGGGGGGATTTCTTTCCTTAGTAATAATTTAAGCGCTAAACTGTAAGTTGGAAAGTTTGCAACCGATTTTCCTCCAACAAAAGCACTCCCGGGTCGAAGTCGGGAAGCACCATGCCTTGGCGACATTCGCACCTAGTAAAGGAATCGTACGCGTGCATGTTCAACTCGAAGTAGACACGTCGTATTTGACGTTTTCGCGAGCGATGTCTTCAGCCGCGAGAAGGGAGCGACGGCTCGACGACGTCTTCGTGCAAATCGGCTTGGTGGTCAGGCATGTCGTACGGGATGAATACCAATTCTTTTGATCAGTTCCTAATTTCTCTTTTAAAGGCAGACAGAATTCGCCGGTACTGCAAACGACAGTTCTGAAGTAGAGGTCCCACGCTCGTCGTCCGCTGCCATCGCCGTCCCCGCGAGTCCCACGATACGCGAAACGACGCACGCACTGAATGCTTCCGGTTCTCTGTCGAACTTTTTTTTTTTCAATCAACGTATTTGCAGCTTTTTAGAAGCAACTAAAAATGGGATTCATATTTTTTTTTATTTTTAATGTTGAATATGCGCCTTCAATGACCTACGACTTCGATTAAATTTGGTGGTCTTGTCTAAACCTTAGAAAACGGCCCGTGACCACGGAAAAGAGAGTGAGCGCGACTCAAACCGGCCAGTTCTTGATCGGCGGTTTTCGGGCGGAAAGAAACCGAATTTCGAGCCGCAAATTCTGTTCTGGGTAGTTGGGCTCTCATATGTCACGTACAACTAAAAACCTCGGCGAGCATAAATACCCTGTCAGTGTCCCTTTAAGAGAAAAAAAAGCTTTTTGGGAACAAATTATTGGCCCTGGCAGACGTCGGGGATAAAACCATACTAATTTTTTACCTAAAATTGTCTAAGTATAACTTTTAATTAGCGCATTTCGGTGGCATGTACAAGTGGCAAATTCGTTGTTGTGGAAAACACAGATGTTATATTTGTTTTGAAAACAAGTGAAGTCCTTTTAAGGGGAGACACTACCCAGAAAAAAAGAATCATGAGCCATTCCACTCTGCGAAAGTGCATGACCAACAAAGCTGTTTAGCAGACGACAGACGTGACACAGAATTTTGAACAAAGGTACGAACACATTTATTGTCTTGATTGGTGGTCATCGTGATGGAAGGTACGCACACACATTTGTTGTTGTCTTGATCGGTATTCATTATTTCGCGTGGACGACTATCGCCGCCCCGAGGAGCTGGAAAAAACTAGACACGCGCGACGGGACTGCCACTTCGGGAGGGCAGAAGGAAAGAAAACTAGGCACGCAAGCACTTGAAATGACGACAAAGAGAGAGTGGTGCGAGCATAGACATGGCCGACGCGGGTCGTACAGCGGCAAATCTTTGAGGAACCTTTACTATCTACCTGAGAGTCTACTGATCTTGAAAATGGTGCCTGTTAATAGCTAATGTACTGAATAGACCTATTGCTAAATTACCCAAGCATCAAGGAGAATGCAGGGAATGGTGTTCCATGTGCCCCACGTGCCGGTGTCTGCAGCAGTTACTGTTCTAAAGCAAAAGCCTAAAACAAATGTCATCTTGCACGCAACTTCGTCGAGGCATTATTTTGGTTATTTACTTCGAATCTTTTATACGGGGAAGGCGTGCACATGCGGCGGTGCGAGCGTAGAGTTCTTGTTGATGCACATGAAAAATTCACGGAACCCTAGCTATAAACAGCTTCACTGTAAAAATTTTTGCAAAAAACGTTAATTTTCAAAAATGCCATATTTACATCCATCAACATCTAGAGAGTGATGAAAATAATCCCTGGAGAAGGGGAACAAGAGGGACAAGGGACAAACATAAATCTCCAAACACAGCTAGGTGACTGGTGAGCGACCGAAAAAATCCGCCTGGTCCGGGTATCGAACCTGGCACCTCTCCATTACAAGTGGAGCGCTCTACCAACTGAGCTAACCAGGGGTTAGACGTCAGTAGAGCAAACGGGTTTTATCAGCTGCCACCAGTCTAACACCAACAAGGGTGAAGCTTGCAATTTAATGTTATAATTATAATGCAATTAAATGCAAAGGGGCAAGCGAGCTGGACAATAATGATGAAAATAAATTTCATCATCATTAAATTTCATCATCATCATCATTTTCATCATTATTGTCCAGCTCGCTTGCCCCTTTGCATTTAATTGCATTATAATTATAACATTAAATTGCAAGCTTCACCCTTGTTGGTGTTAGACTGGTGGCAGCTGATAAAACCCGTTTGCTCTACTGACGTCTAACCCCTGGTTAGCTCAGTTGGTAGAGCGCTCCACTTGTAATGGAGAGGTGCCGGGTTCGATACCCGGACCAGGCGGATTTTTTCGGTCGCTCACCAGTCACCTAGCTGTGTTTGGAGATTTATGTTTGTCCCTTGTCCCTCTTGTTCCCCTTCTCCAGGGATTATTTTCATCATTATTGTCCAGCTCGCTTGCCCCTTTGCATTTAATTGCATTATAATTATAACATTAAATTGCAAGCTTCACCCTTGTTGGTGTTAGACTGGTGGCAGCTGATAAAACCCGTTTGCTCTACTGACGTCTAACCCCTGGTTAGCTCAGTTGGTAGAGCGCTCCACTTGTAATGGAGAGGTGCCGGGTTCGATACCCGGACCAGGCGGATTTTTTCGGTCGCTCACCAGTCACCTAGCTGTGTTTGGAGATTTATGTTTGTCCCTTGTCCCTCTTGTTCCCCTTCTCCAGGGATTATTTTCATCATTATTGTCCAGCTCGCTTGCCCCTTTGCATTTAATTGCATTATAATTAAATCTAGAGAGTATTCACGGAGAGTTTCATTTGTTTGCACAGCATACGTAATATCCCGAGTCATCGCCCACCCCCCTACCGCCTGAAATTCATTAAAAAAGTGGGGTGGGCCATGTCTCGGTGGGTGAGCACAAACACTTGAAAAAAAGCGGAAAAAACCGCCTATTTTTCTCTGCGTATCTAGCGCTGATGCACAAGAGATACATCAAACTCAAAACTCGATTTAGTTTCATTGTTTTATAGAAAAAAATGCTCATGAAAGAATATTTTACTATAGCGAAGTCCGTTGCTTGCGTACGCGCTAGAAACACCGCCGATCTGCATATAGCGCGAACGTTTGTTCCGTGAAAGAATGTCACCACTATGTTCTCCTAGTTAGTAAAAAAAAAAGAAAGAAAAGTCTACAAGAAAATAGAAAAACCGACCAGGCGCAACGAGCGAGCGAGCGAGCGAGCGGACCAAAGAAGCGACCAAGAGCAAAAGCGGGAAAGCCGGCGGTCGCATTGGCAAATACTTTGGCGTCGGGCCAAGTCGGGCGCCTTGTCAATTCCGAGCTCTTGCGCAACTTTCTTGTTTGGTGCGTACTTAGGTGCGTCCGTGCACGGCGGGCTATCAATGAACGGTTGGGACGCTCTGCAAACGTCTGTGTAGGGCGTTCCAGCAAAGCTTTATTTACGCGTTGGCTTTGCCTAAAATATTACACAGCCGCGGTCACGACGGGCGGGAAGAAGGAGCGGGTTCGCGGTGACTTTACTTCGGCGGAGACAGACTTTGACCTAACACTCCGCGGTTACATTAACAAACTCTTATTTTGTTATCTCCATCGTTTTCTTTTCCCACGGATACACGACCACTTTGGGGTCGCTCACGGAGGAAATGCGTAAACAAAAAGAAGTGTCTGTCCCTCCTTCGTTTTACTTTGTCACGGACGTCCTCCAACTGTAAGGTCCGTGGCCGCGTCATTCGGGTAGGATGAGTGTTCGCGGATAGCAGAGTCCGCGCTGGGGTATTTGAAGGGGTGGGCGATGACTCAGTGTTTTTTCGGAAATCGATATTGGCCCAAAAAAGGGGGTGGGCGATGGCTCGGGGATGGGCGATGACTCGGGATACTACGGTAGTTCTTTTTTATAAATCATTTTCGGTCCACCTATGTAAAAGAAAAGGTAAGGGTTTGAGCACTTTGAACATGTTTTTCTCCATTCCATTTTCTGGCATTATTTTCCACTTTGGGAAAACTATTGTTTGGTAACGGGACAAAAGGAAAGGCTCTCTCATTGTTTTTCTTATATTGAATTTAATGGGCAATGCAGCTGCTGCATTGTATTTTTACTTTTTGGATATACCGTAAAATACCGGGCAAGCTCCCACTCAAACTTTGGAGATAATCGCAAAAAAATGGGGGATGGGCGCTTGTCCAGTCATCAGTTTTACATATAAATGTACTGTGCATATTTTTTGAGATCTTACAAATTTTGGTAATGGGTGCTTAATGTGGAATGGGAGGATGCGCGGTATTCTATGGTAGTCTACAAAAGATGTTAGGATTTTGTCGACAGGGTAAAGGGCAAGAAATTTCTTTGATTTTTCAGCGTGATGTTAGCATCCAATAAATAACTTTTTGGAAACTTTGTTTTCACAGTTGCACTCTCCAGGAATTTTGCTGTGTATCTAGTGAAGAAAAATGTTGGGTATTACCGTAAAATACCTGGGGAGCACCCACCTCACTTTTATTGAAAGCCGGCTTAATCTAGACACGGGCGCTTGTCCGGTCAAATCGGGTGCTTAACGTATAATTCGCAGAATTTCAGTGTTTGGGAAATGTCGTGGGCGCTACTGCGGTATTTTACGGTACATTAGTTTTCTAACGATAGTTTTCCTAAACAATGTCAATGTGTTCCTGATAAAAACCACTATAATTTCTTTCACAATTCATGTACACAGATGAAACTTTCCATTGCATTCTGCCTCACAACTGACAGTATATAGTGTAAATTTTTGTTCATATTAAGCAGGAGGTCCAAAAGTTGACCCTTCTGGGTACTGTTTTCCCTTAAGCCCTGCAACGTGAGAAAACCTCGAGCTTCTTCCACAGAGAACTGAAACGTACAACAGGAAAGCACTCCTCATGCGCTGCATTTCGGTTTTTTTGTTGAGAAAGCCTTCTGCCCTATTTTCAACATTACTCAAGATGTACCGGTTCTGTCTTAAACTGTGTGTCAGTGCAGGCCTCAGCTAAAGATGTGTGTTTATTTTTGAAACCTTAAAAGTCTGCCCGTTTTTTGTCTCAACAGAACAAAGCGTGCAACTACTGCAAAAAGGTTTTCGTGACGTCGTGCAGAAGTGCTCCGAGATGCCGGAAAATGCCAGATGCCGGAAATGCACATGCTTCTGCACATGTTGGCTGTGCTCTTTCTCTCGTGCTTGGAGGAGCCCCGCTAATTTCTTCATTGTGGTGCAACCACAAGATTAATGTCTACAGCTGGAGTGACCCATAAGAGCTGCACAGTTTGTTTGTTTTACCTTTTATGACCTCCAACTCCTTTTTTTATCAGATACCTGGTGATGCTGCCGACCACTTACTGCCTCACCACCGTGCTGCTCTGGCCAGAAATAATGTTGCAGAGGAAAGCAAGCTTGAAAAGGAGAAATACAGGTGATCTAGGAATTCTGTGGGCTCTAGATTATTGCCGATTCTGTTTATCACGATTGCTGTTCACTTCACTTTCAGGAGCAAAAAAGCTCTCTTGAAGTACAAGTCTGAGCTGAAAGGGATCAAAGAAAAGTTAAAGGTAACACGCATATCTTTGTTTTAATTTGTAGAAGTAGCATCTTGCGACTTTTGCTAACCTCTCTTTTCCCCTTCCAAAGAACATCAACCATATTTGTGAGAGGGACGGACTGAAGGGCAATCGCCAGATAGACCAGCAGGCGTCTGAACTCCAGAGAAGAGTAGGTATTGCATATTCTTTAAGAAACACTGACACACCCCAAAAATGTTTCTATTTGTTTTTTTTTTGTCAGGTGATTTAATATAGTGTCAAGAGACAACCCAATCAATATTTCGCTTCAGAGTCGCTTATATTTTTAACGAAGCCCAAAAACTCAACTGCTCGAAACTGAAACACAAGAGCTCACCCGACCACATTTTTTTTTTTTTTCTCTCCGCTTCTTTGGTGTGTGGAGCAGACAGCGAAGTTGTGTGCAACTTTTTTTGTGCAATTGTTTTGCACTTATATCCCTTATACTTGATGTTCTGCTCTTGAAGATCTATTGGCCGCTACTACGAACGAAAGTTCAGAAGTAGCGACCCCACGTCCGTTGCAATGTCGGTCTCTTGTGTGCCGCTATCGCATCATTCAGTCCGCAGTACGTCGCCATATTGAGAATGACATGTACTTCCTGTGATCTGTGCAACATTTTCTTTTATCAAAATATTTCCAGCTTTTTGGAGACCACAAAAATGGGGTTCATATTCTTTTGTATTTTTGTTACGAATGTGTACCTTAGGTGACCCACTACTTTGCATATGTACTTGGTACAGATTTTTTGAACGCCACGTGGCCACGAAAAAGAGAGTAAACGCGACTGAAATCGGCCAATTTTTAACCGGCTGTTTTCGTGCAAAAAGGAAACAAATTTCGAGCCGCAAATTATCTTCCAGGTAGTTGGGCTCTTATAGGTCAAGTTCAAATAAAAACCCCGGCGAGCATAAATGTACCCTGTCGGTGTCCCTTTAAATGCATTTACTGAGGCCCGCCTCGGACGGGGCAATTTCACCCAGCAACTTGACATCGCAACACCAGCAACACGGGCCGCCCGCGTTCATACGCAGCAACCGAATTGCTACGACTTGCCATCATCATCATCATTCAATTTGATTCTTTTTGCACTATTTAGACGCACAGCTACGCACTAAAAATGTGTTTTTATATCTTTGAATGGCATTGAGAATACTAACTCATCTTTTTGAAAAGGTTTACTTCCAAAAACAATGCATTTCAAACCAGAACAGAGTCTTTAGCTGTCATCATCACCACCACAGGTGTGTCACGCGAAAATATTGCTTCCCTGATTGGCTGCCGCCGCTTCAAACGTCTCCGAGTTGTTCGAGTTGCTCATCTGTTTTGAGCCGGGCCCGATCTCAGCAATTTGCGTCTATCTAGGGGAAGCTAGGGAACAACCCGCCAGCAACCTCAAAATTGCTGGAAAATTTGCCCCGTCTGGAGCGGGCCTAAGCTGATGTTCTTGCCGTATTGAAGTCATTCTTTTAGCTTTTGATTGGACGATTATTTTTCGAGTGACCAGTCTCGTTGCACCCAAACATTTCCAGATTGACATGTTGGCCCTGAGGATAGATTCTGACCGACAGTACCGCACCGATCTCGAAATCAGCAATCTCAGAACAGGTGAGAGAGAATTTTGATGTAATAGATTATCAATTAAACTTGGGTAGATTGCTCCATCTATATTTTTAATTAATGTTGTGCCCTATACGATGGCATAAATAGGAGCTTATGAATTCCTTGATTTGTTACAGAAATGCACCACATTCGTCAAGGGCTGTCCAGGGAGGAACTGCACAAGTCACTGCCCAGCACCTATGTGAGTTCTTCTGACTTTACCCTTTGTAAAAAATGATAATTATATGGCAGACTTTTCTTCTTTAGCGGAAACTCGGGCACATGACCCCTTCAGAGACTCCCACGAAGCTCACGGATTATAATGGCTGCCAAAATATGTTTCACAAGTACAGGACTGATCTCACGGTAACTATGTAATATATATCTTTCTTTTTTTTTTTTCACATTAAAATTTAACTTGAGTTTTGTTTCATCAAAGGTTGGCTTGTGGTGACTATTTTTTTCAACTGCTTATAGGTGTACACATGAACCTTGATTTTACGAAACCCCATTTTACAAATTTCCCGATTTAACGAACAAATTCGGATTCCCCGTGGAGCCTATGCGCGAGGTCTCCCGTCCTCGATTTGACGAAGTTCACCATTTAACCAAATTTTCAGCGGGACCCGGTGACTTTGTTAAATCGAGGTTCAACTGTATATGCACATGCCAAAAGGCTCTAAGCTAGGCTTAGGCTGTCTCGGAAAGCACTCTTATTGCACGAGCATTGGGTAAAGCACGTAGTCCTCAGTTTATTTTGTTTGATTAATCGATACTAAGTATAGTGAACGAAAAGGAATGCTTTCGTGGAATTTCTTGGCATTGCACACCTTTAGCAAGTTCCTTATCCCTGGTGTGATTGCATGCATTTATAATGGGACCCTACCAGCCTTTGTTGAAAATTATAAAGATCATATAAAAGTCTTTGAAAAAAAATTTAAATTTCACTAATTTTGGAAGCCGTCTTGCTGGTGATTGAATAGACAACAGTTAGTGAGATTTCCCCATATTGTTATCACACCCTGTGAAGGGTCCTCTTAAAGGTACATGTCCACGTGCATCAGCACTATCTCACTGTGGTCATGTTTGTCACCCTCAGAACCTCTAAAAGTCCCCATTGAAAGTGTCTCATTGGGTTGTACTGCCATAATGTTTACAATGCCATGTAAACATACATAACATTGCCACGCTGCAGGAGGAAGTCCATCACCTCAGACGCAACCTGGGCTCCGAGCCAGATGTTCACTACAGCTGGCTGTCAACGAACAACACTCCAGAGAACCACAACGTAGAGGTGGCAGCGGGTGACACCTATTCCAGGTGCCTTTCGTTTTATGGATTCTTCTCCTCTGCACTTTGTGTGTACTGAAGGGATGTACAGTCCTCGTCAAACTTATATGGAACACTAGTGGAATATTGAATGCAGAAAAGAGATAAAATATGAGAGAACTGCGCACATTTATGTGAACTGAAGGTATGCTACGGACATACTAGTGGGACACAAAGAGAAATAGCTTAGGGCTAGCGCAAGCTATGCTCGCGCACATAGAAAAAAATAAAATAGAACAAGCCAAGAGTAGGCTTGGTATGTGTTCCAGATAAGTTTGCTGAGCACTGCACATCTTTTAAAATGTGTTTTTCAATCTGTTTTTTCAATTTATGGTCTAGAGTAGAGTGATCATATTTGACGAACCATAAAACACGGTGGGGGAAGAGGGAAGACGAATAAACATTACTATAGTTAAGCAAGCTAAGAAGCAAGTGATGATGGTGATATTTAAATTGTTGCAGCTAGATCCATTAAGCCTACGAAATTCTGATCTCCTGATTTCAAACTTTCTAGTTTGAGTTTTGAAACTACTTCTTACCAATCAGTTACCCAGTGCACTACGCTGTGGTGTTGCTCATGCTCAGAGACTTTCAGAATCATGCTACGATTGTGTAATCGTGATAAAAGCAAAGAGGAAAGAGAAGAGGCAGACAGAAGAAAAGGTTGCTGTAACTGGGTCTCCTCGATTTTTGTCAACGCTTGCTACTGGTGCTGCTGGGCTGCTAAGATGCAACTGTTGCTAACCTTGGGGTCACTGGCACCTAGCCTTTGACTGGCAACGGAAAGACCCGCTCGGGAAAGGCAGGTCAGAATACGATCCCGCATCCTGGTCGGGCGGATGGCGGGTTTAGGGCCAACGGGACTGTCCCACCTAAATCAGGACGTCTGGTCGCCTTATTTCGGAGCCTGAAATTTACCTGTCAAACTGGTCAGGAAGAACAGCCTGTAACTTTTGTGAAAGTCTGTTTTGGAGGGTAACTGCAAAGAAAAAAATGTTTTTTAAAACAGCCTAATAGACCGATCTCACCAGGAGTTGCATGACGCCACCGCTGCTGGGTGCATTCTGGTGCCTGTAGTTCTCCCCAGTTTTCCGGCCGCGTCAATTTGCGTTGTACGCCCGGCATTTGGACATTTTCGGGTTAGCACGAGACATTTAACTGGGTGTTTACTCGCAGTTTTCGATGGGTGGCTTTACCTGTTGTGTGCCAGGGTGCAACAATAACAGCACCAGTTACAGATTTTATGTCTTCCCTAAAGAAAGCAGCCCCGGAAAGGGTGGCTAAGAAAGGTAAGCAGAGCCAGACAGAGCAGCAGGAAAAGGAGCATTTTTTTTACTTGTTTCGCGATTTGCTTCAAAATTTATATCCACCATCTTGCACATTAGCTTAAGAGTGTAAGATTACAGGGCACGATGCATAGGGGTGCATGCCGAAGCGTTACGTACGTTGGAATCTATCTAAACACTCGCTTCGCAGTGGTCTATCCGTTACGATGGTCTATTTCAATCGAGACCTCCGCACTGCTTTGCCGCGGCCGTTTTTTAATACACTTTTTGCTCGATGTATTTCGGGGGTTGTAACTGTTATTGCGACGACATGTTTCAAGCACCACTGTACTTCAAAAGATCAGGACAACCACTAAAAAAAGAGCAGCGATTCCTGATATGCATCATGCACTTGAAATAAGATGAACTGCAGTCTTCTCCTTGGAGTTCATGTTAACCCTGTCGCACAGTCTGTCAAGCAGAATGAAACGACATTTAAAAAACTATCGCTCCCTGAGGCAGTCTATTAGCTCTTCTTACTTCATTGTCGATTAAGCGTTATGCACAAGCTGAGTTTTCAGTGCTCAGTTTTCCAACGAAACATTTGATGCTGTTCCGTAGTGCTACACCGAGCCGATGGTCCCTCGAATTTTCGTGTTCTTTGCCATTGAACTATATACGTTCACTTTTTTCCAAGTCCATTGAGACTTCCAAACAACCGGAGTGCTTGTGTAGTGGTATTGTTTTTTTTCCTGTGGCCGCAGTGGAATTATTGCGTGAATGCGGTGGATTCACGTGTTCATGAGACGAAGAAGCAGACTACAACGAAGCAGACGACAAAGCGATTCTAAAGCAATTAGATGACTGGAACTGCTTTACTTTGCTGGCTGACAAACTAAGGCATCACAGCACAATCTTTGGAAATAAAAACGTGGAGGAGAATCCAGGCCGATATCGGGGTGTCACAAACAATGATGTACGATGATGTACGCGCACAGCAAGCCCTATGCAGCCGGGAAGCCGGAAAGCGATGACTACAAGTAGCATGGCGGCGGCATCACCTTTAGAATGTGCGCGCCTGCGCAATTTCGAGACAAGCGTGTCACAAAACAATTATTCTGCGAAAAACAAAATTCTTTACAGTAACATTTTTTGCGTGAAACTAATTTTAGTTTGCGGCTATTTCGTCCGTTTTAAATCGTGTGCCACAAAGTTGGTATTATACGTCACGGAGTGACGTGCGATAGCAACTCTTCTCATTGGCTAAGGGATTGATTGACGGTGTAGATCTTGATTGTTAAACCTTTGTGATATTTTGTAATTTCCTTTTGAGCGGCATATTTTTACATTTAAAGAGTAACTTGAGAATACTAAGCACGCCGAAGCCTCGGGAGGCTCAGGTGGTGCGCCGTCTTCGTTGCTGGCAACCGTCCTCCGGGGCGTATCTTCGTATGGCCGATGACCCAGTTGCTCACAGTGGCCAAGAAGCTGACGCTTCTTTTCAGGGTTCATTTTGCGCATAGCTCACGCAGAACACAGAAACTACAAAAGGCTGTGGTACGCAGCCTTTTGTAGCTCGAACGACGCTGCGTACGTCGTTCAACTCTGCAGCCAAGTCAATTCAAGAGCCAATCCAAAAGTGAGGGGCGAGGCATACTTCTCCTTTGCATGGGGTGAAAGAGTGAGAGTTTCAAATGTGGAGAGGTTGTGACTCAGACTAAAGTATGTCCTGTAACATAAATATTGCTCAAATATATATTTTTTTTTTTGCGGAAGATTTGTTTTGTGACATGAATTGTCCCAATTAGGCTGTTTAAAAAAACACTTTTTTTCTTTGCAGTTACCCTTTAATGACTTTGCCTCACTTATTGCAATGCTCTGATCTTGGCACCTTTTAGTAAATGAAAGCTCCTGGCCTCTTCACGAGATCGCGTAACCAGGTCTTTTTTTTTTTTTTCAGCAATGAAATTACTTTTGTAAATAAAAAAGAGTGAAAGATGTTTACAATTCTCTGTAATGTCGAATTATAGCGCAGCTTTTGAGGAGGAGGAGGAGAGGATATGGAAGGGGAATATGCCCCCTCCTCTCCCTCCCCTCCTCCTCCTCCTCCTCTAAATTTAGCGGGAAAATTTCTGCTAACTTTCCCACTAAGTTTATCGAAAAAAATTTGCCGCTATATTTAGCGAAGAAATTTCCCCACGAGATTTAGCGGGGATATTTTCCCATAATGCAATCTGCGGTTATGCCCGCTTGCATTATTCCTATAATGCAATGTGTGCGGTTACACAGACGGCGACGCCGCTCAAGCCGGAAAAGGGCGCCCAAGAGCTGCGCTCTAGAAAAAGTGAAACATTTGGTGTTTTAGTAGATTGTTCCAGATCTAATAACGATAGCTCATACTTAAAGTACTTAAGTCCCGTGTTTTCTGGGTTTTTTTTTTTTTCTTTTGGGGTGGCAAGGGGGGGGGGGGGGAGATTATGTTGGGCATTTGGTGTTTTTTTTGTGTAAATTGGTTATAACTTATCCAATTTACACAAAAAACACCAAATCTAGAAGAAGACCCCCCTCGCCAAAAAATACTCCAAATTCGAAAAAAATAAAAAAACACCGGAAGCACGGAACCCTTTTTATACTCCATCGTTGTCTTTGTCCACGCAGCATATCATTATCGGGTATTGTTTTTGCTGCGCAAGAACAATTAGCTAAAACTTCCTTTTCCACAGTGAACATGGTCTTAAGATTCGTTTTCCTGCACTGCCAACGGCAGAAGATAGGCAACCAACTTTCAAGCACGTGCCAGCGAAGGAAGCCTCTCGAACCTCGCATCCCTTCTGCTCTTTCAGAAAGCAACTTCCAGGTCAGTCCCAGTCCACACCACACCCGGTTCCCCTGTTTGCCAAGAGGCTCCCCAGCTGGTCCGTGAGTCCGGTCAAGTCAGCGCCTCCGGTGCCTGCTCAGAGCACGAGCACCAGGCAGCGTGTCCAAGCCATGCTGGATGAATCCCTGGCCAGGCACCTCACTCCCGGTACGGCTGATCGTCTGCCTGCATTCTGTGAATTTAACCCGGAGAGTGCCAGACGGCAACGGAAAGATCATTTGGCACAGTTAGATATATCGGTTTTGAGCTCCACTACCATGCATGCGTGCAGTTTGTTTTCTCGCTACTAATTCTCATGTAATATAGCTAACTCTGAATTTGGTGATGGCCTCTGCAACGAAAGAGAAGTCATGTTCATTTTTTATTGTTGAATGCTTGGCAAGGGTCTTCCGACATATTCGACCCAGGTTGTTTGCCTGTTTCAAGGCTTCCGTTTCGGGGCTTCGCGACCCTTTGTACTATTCCAGAGATATCTTTTGCACAGATGTTTTTAGCATGATATATGTGCCTTGCACTTGTGTAGTTTGACTGATCGTAGTCCAACCCTGCAAACCTATTTTTCCCAATGGGACCTGCCCCCCAAGCAAAAAAAAAAAAAAAAACTAAAAAACCTGGTACAGAGATATTAAAATGGCTTTATATAGGAAACTAATTTACATCCAAGTTCCTGACCCGTCTTTATTCTTCCATTGTTGAACCTGCGCTTTGTAGGGTTTTCGCGCATGTTTTTAAAAATGCTGAACTTCATGCAACTTTAAAAATACTGCTACAGTCGAACCCGGATATATTGAATTCAAAGGGGATTGTAAAATAGTTTGATATAGTATCGATAATTTGATATGCAAAAATATGTCAACTTAAGCTCCAGTTGAAATTTCTGCGCGTCTCTGCTAATACCGAAGGCTGCGATGAACGGGACCTTACCAAATAAAGCCTCTAATACCCGTGCCACACGAGCAACTCGTATGCCATTTACAATGAATGACGTTTGAGCGGACGGCCAATCAGCGCGCCACACTCCGGGCGTGGCGCATTCCACGCGCGACAGATTGCGAGCTGATTCGCCGATCACACAAATGGCATTCGTTGTAAATGGCATTCGAGTTGCCCGTGTGGCACGGGTATAGAGCCGCTAAATACAGTAGAGCTTAAATGGTGAAGGTCACAAACACCGCCGCGTTTATGGGACGTTGTTTGCGATCGTTTCGTTTCCGCTAGAGTGCCTTCATGTGCGCTTCGCATAGAGTGATGCCAACTGCCTGTTTCCCTTTCCTACACCCTCTTCCACCGCCATTTTGTTCCTCTCATTGTTTCCCCGTGCGCCGGAAAGTGGCCTTTGTGTCCATCGGTCCTCTCATCCGAGGGGGAAAATGCTAATCCTCCCTCCGTGGGTTCCTCAACGCTGCTCCAAACTTGTGAGATAAGGTGTTTGTTTCCGAGAGGGTTATAAGCCCCACGGATTATCGCCGAGAACCAAAATGGCTGCTGATTTGTCGGCGAGTGGTATTACAAGGGGTGGCATCACCCTAGCAAAGCGCACATGAAGGCTCCCTAGTTTCTGCCTGGCCACAGACCGGCAACAAACCACAAAAATAATAAGTTAAAAACTGAAAGAACGGAAAAAGCAAGCCGCAAGCAACAAAAGAAGAAACCTCACTAAATTCGGGCAACAAAAGAAAGAATGGCAAAAAAAGAAACGTGCAAAGCAAAAACGGCAAAAGAAAAAGGTAAACAAAGATAAGGCCGTTGTTGTCTAAATATTCGACTTTGCGATTTTTTTTTTTTTTTTTTTTTTATTTTTTGCCTATTTTACTTTGGGGTTAAGGAGTCGCGTGGCGACAGCGGTGTGCGGGGAAAGCGCACACCGCTGTCCCCGCACACCAACAGTGAGCAGTCCCTGCCCTCCCTACGCGCGCGCGTGCCCTTCCCTTTCCCCTTGCTTTTGCCATTCTCCACTTTTCTCTTTTTTTTTACGTTTTTTTTTTTTTTTACAATTGCTTTTTTGCTGCATATCTGTGCACGTATGCTGGCTTGGCGGTCTGTAAGCCCACAACGCGAGCTACGTGCTCGCCGCGGGCGCAGTTTGACCGCGGGAGAAGCGACGGGCCCCTGTGCTTTGTTCGTTATATCGAGTGTCCCCGCCATGGGAGCCATTGGAGTTCGATACAGAAAAACAAGGCTCCTATACAATTACATGTGATTTTCAAGGGGATGTTTGCACTGTTCCATATAAAAAATAATTCGAAATACCCGGGTGTGATATAACTGGGCTCGACTGTATGTTTTTTCCGGTATTTTAGCATCTTTGGATGACCGCAAGGTTTCCAACACCCTAATTTATTTTACTGTAAACCACTTATTTTCGCAGGCTCCATATTTTACCAATTTGACAGAGTGCGAATCTCGGGAATATTGCGCGGGTACAAAATTTCTCGATTGGGAGTGCTGCGCTACATATTAATTTCCATTGGGCAATATATTCGCAAGATGTATTTTTCGTGATAGTTTTTGATTCGCAAAAATGATGTCCTCACAAAAGTTAGGTCATTTACAGTAGATATAACTTTTACCGAGTTCTGTTACCTTGTTGTCCAACCTGTTTTGTTTTTTGTCTTCTCTTTTAGGTAATTCTTTCGTGGCACCTCCCCATGAAGAATACGACAGCGTGGACGCCGAATTAAAGAAGTCTCTGGCCGAGCTGACCAATTCACTGGAGAAGACGTATCTTGTATAAGGAAATTTGCCGCCAAGTCGACCTGAAAAAGGGGAAGCACACTACCAAAAGCCTTATTTACATGTACAGCCTTCGTATAAAACCCAACGAGCACAGTTTTTTTTCTTTTTTTAGTTTTGTTTATAGAGCACATGGTTGACTGTTGAAGCAGAGTCAGCCAGCAGATAAAAAAGATGAAGCACAGGCTGTGAAAGTTGGTGGGATACGACAGCATCACTTTGAAAAAAAAGCCAGCTAAGATTCTCATGTGCAGCCAAAGAAAACGTGCCATTGGTTTGCATGTGCGTGCATCACTGTAGCCGTGCGTTTCAAAGCAAGTAGTATTCTGACGCATCTAAAACTTGGAGCTACTTCAGAGTTCTGGCAGCTGTCCAAGCATAAAGCACTCTCTCACTGCACCTTTGTGCACAGTGTTGTGTTTATTAGTGAGAATCATCTTTGTGCCTTCTACGCAAAGAATGAAGCACTCGTTCATCATTTTTCTGCTTGTAGTCGAAAGCATGTCATGGGCTATGCACATGGCACGCCCTAAACGTTTACATGCCTCTTCTCATGCACCAAAGCGCACCTCTTTCTTTCGCATATTGTTATATTCACTGCCTGCACGTCACGCATTTGCACGTCTTGCACGGTGTTGTAGTTTGAATGTAAATTATTTTTTTGTGTCCTTGTTGTTTCTATAGCTCCGGCAGCTTTTTTAGATTTTACGAGGACGCTCGACCAAGTTAAGAATTGTGACCGGTGCACAGCACGTGGTAGTACAAGAACGTTGCTCACTCACTATCTCAGAAAGTACCGATGCTTTCAAGAACCTGATCTAGTCCTGATGAAAGGAAAACAAAGTGTTTGCTTAACCTGTTGTGCCTTTGATCAATGGGGTCTTTGATTCTCTCGCGGTATTCGAACGTTTTCCTGCTGCTTTGCAAGTGTCTGTTACAGTACTACTTAGAGCACTCTGACATGCTTGAATCTCTCAGTTTGAGTGATGCAGTTCAAACTTGGATTTGCGCAACGGTCTGGATGAGCAGTCTACTAGTTAATTGCAGCCTGGCGAACATGTTTCGGACAATCCTCAGAGCTGCCTGTTTAAGATGACTCCAAAGATGTAAAAAAATGGTTTTGTTTTCTTTTTAATAAAATAAAATACCTGTACTTTTTACATGGCTTCCTGAATTATTCCCATCACATCTCAACCACATGAATTGATGTGGCTTGTATCACACAAAAACTCGCTCCTTTCCTCATAGGCTTGAAAAAAACCTCGCCAGACAAAGTGTTTTTTTTTTTTTTAATGTAAGTTACCATTTTGTTTGATGGATTAAAACTTTTGACAAGCAGAATCTTCAAAACACCGCCTTTGTACTTCGCCTTTATTAACCCTGTATAATGCGGGAACGCCAACTTATCCAGTGGTGTCAGAATGGGGACAGGAGAGGCGATCGCCGCTCCAAAGATGTTTCATACTTTTCTAGCAGACAGTATGGGAGGAAAATACTCTCCCGCCTTTAATCCTGAACCCTTCTAACGGCCCTGGATTGACCTCATCCCAGCTCTTGGCTAGCAGAGTGCAACTACCTTCACGGTGACAGTACAGGGTGTGGAACGGGTGAAATGGAGTTAAAATCACACTCACGCCTAGCAGAACAGTGGCTGCTGAATATTGCATCTTTTTTTAAGTTCGCTCCGGACACTTCTGGGTCATTCCATCTCAAACGTCCTAGATGTTGCGCTCTACTATTTCTGATCTTTAAAAGAACATGACTTTTTACTCCAAAGTTTTTAACATGCTCCTAGAATATTTTCGCCATAAATTTTTCTTTTTTGTTATGGCGTGAGCGTGATTTTAACTTTTAAAAGACCATAAAACTATGCATCAATCAATAATTGAGTAAAAATAAGATCTTCAAAACGCTTCACAATTTTTATAATATTCAAATGGCTTTCAGCTTGCCATTTGCCAATACCTTGAGCACAGGCTGGCGAAGAACACCAAAAAAGTTGTTAGATATGTAGACGATTACTTGGTTTTCGTAGAGAAAAACGATTTTAGTAGAACAATGAGTGAAATGTTACAAACGTTCGCGGAGGAAGGGTTAGGACTCCGCTTCACTTCCGAGACTCCTAAGGAGTACAAAATCCAGTTTTTAAACATCCTAGTTGACGTGAAAGAAGATCATGTATGCTGGATGCACCACCCCAGTTCCACGAAGAAATTACTAGACTATCGTTCAGCACACTCAAAGCTCGTAAAAAACAGTATTGCGTATTCCTGCTTACAGTCAGCGTTGACAAAAGCCTGTTTTCATAAGATGAAAGAAAGCTTCTCAGCACAGGTCGCTAGACTTGGAGACTCTAATTTTCCCGACTCAGTTATTACTTCAGCCTGCGATAAGGTGACTCGGTTCATCAAGACTGATTCCAGAAAACCTGACGAAGAAAAAGCCAAAATAGACAAAAAGAATGTCGCCGTTATTCCTTATATCCATCGTCTTTCACACGGGTTAAAGGGAGTTGGTTCGAGGCATGGGGTCAACGTAATTTTTTCAACGCGTAACAAACTGAGCAGGATTATAAACTTGGCTAATAAGCGTGCTGGCAGGAAAAGTAAGCCAGAACTTTTTGGATGTCGCGTCAAGCATGGCATGAAGTTCGTGTTTTGTGCACAGGGGACCGTTTATGAAATACCTTTCTCATGCGGTCACTCATATATAGGTCAGACGGGACGTTGCCTCAACATTCGTCTACGCGAACACCACAGTTCATTAAGAGGTAACGCGTACTCCCATTTAGCTGTCCACTGCCGTGATTGTGGATATGAGCCAAGATTTAGTGACACAAAAGTGCTGTTTAAACGCAAAGACCAGCTATCGAGGGAGGTAGTAGAAGCTTACCATATAGCAAAACGAAAACCCGGGTGCGTGAGTCAACCATCCATTAGCCTAGTGGACAGTGAGATAGTTTTTTGGACATGGGTTGATCAGAGAATTGAAGATCGAGATTGAAGAAAGAAGAAAGGAGGAAGAAGACACGATGACTTATACCTGTGCTGGTGTGCTTTAATGTACTGGTGTGTTTTAATTTGGTATGATTTACAATGTTGCGCGTTTAATGGCGAATGACTGGTGGAAGAGGAAAAAGAAGAAGCCGTCCTCGCGTGAATTTCTCTGTATGTGTTCTGAATAGATAGTTGATAGTCAGCGCCTTGTCCTGTGTGTTCTCTCCTCCTTGGCCGTGTGTTATTCGCGCTGTTTTTCAAAATGCACCCAGAAAAGTTTACTGCTCATTGGTTTCATGTTAACAGATTTAAAAAAAACTGCAAATTGCTACTTGGTTTAACGCAGTTGTAAAATTTAGCGCAATTGTGTTGCAGGGACTGTGAAGTACCCTGTGGATGCTGGGCCATCTCCAGAAAGAATGGACGAGGAAATGCTTTCCGACATGCGGGAAGCGGCAGAACAGGGTGCCATTGCTCGTGGAGTGAAGGGCTTATCCCCTATGATTAACCTTAAGGGATTTGATATTGTGTGGTCCTTCTCTCCAGATCACATGTATTGTGTGCTTCTAGGAGTTGCAAGACAGATGACTGAGCTGTGGCTCTCGTGCCCTGGCGAACCTTACCATATTGGCAGTCCTACAAAGCTTGCTCTTGTTGACAGCAGGCTTTGTAGCATTCGGCCTCCACAGTGCTTTAACTGCCTTCCAAGGACTTTGCGGAAGTTCTGGAAGGCTGCAGAATGACAGCACTGGTTGCTCTAGCTACTACACCTTCCTTAAGTCTCCAGGGTATTTTTCCCGCTACATTTCTAAAGCATTGGGGCCTTCTAGTGACAGGAATGTTTCATCTTCTCAAAGATGAAGTCACATGAGATGATATCACAATAGGAAGTGAAAGTCCTGTTCAGTTTGTTGTGAAAGTGCAGTTCCTTTATATAAAAACTGCAATGACGTACAATGTGCACCAGCTTCTTCCCCTTGCGAAATGTGTCGTCTAGCTCGGCCCCCTTTGGGCACGCTCCTGCTTCACCTTTGAGAGCAATATTGGAGCTGTTAAAGCTTGTGACTTCGTCAAACGGTGTGCCCATCCAGATTGGATCACGGGTCCTGCTGGAGAGCAAGCTTAATGCATACACGGCAAATGACAAGATCAGAGCCCTTGTATCTAGAAGGGGACAGCTGCTGTGTGAAGGCATCAGGCCTTTGGGAAAACCAAAAAAGGGTAGGAGAGTCATTCAGGAGCTTTTTCGAAGAGATCACTGGCTGTAAAGGCAATGAAGTGACCGGGTATGAGAGGATGGTTGTGAACAATCAGTTATTTCACAGTGATAAATACAAGAGGTCAACAAAACTAGCTGTGCTGCAGTTTGGCTAGGTGATGGAACATATGCTAAGATAGACTCAATTATTTCTTACCGTGGGAGAAACAATGAAGTGCAGCTCTTCATCTGCTCGAATGAGTATAAAGTATTGCCTTCTATGACGCCAACTCCTCAAACAAGTGGCAAAACGTCCACGAAAGCAAATCCACAAAGTTGATGGACATATTGCTGCTTGCATTTTTATGGCCTTCGAACAAAACTATCTGGTGAATCGGTATGAATGGTCGTAATTTACTCACATATAGCTGAGGAGTTGAGCGAGGATGGGATTTATTATTGTGCTTATGTGTATATACAGTCTAAAGTTGGTCTGCCTGAACTGGTGACACGTCTTTCAGCTGTAGGTGAGCAATTTAGCCAGTGCAGTACAACTAGCCTGGGGTTGGTACAGATACAACTGGCGTTGCACTATGGTCGAGGAAAAGAGAGAAAGAAGGAGGGAGAGGAGAAAGAAAAGAACGGAGGAGGGGGAAAAGGAAACTGGGGAAGGTTCCCCGGAAATTTTCTTTGAAAAAAAAAAAACAAAAAAATGGGACTTGCAATCAGAAGAGTCCCCTGGCGATTTGTTGTGGGGAAGCAGACGATTTGGGATGAACGCAGTCTTAGTGTTGTGTAACGCGTTGTCAACGTTGCCGACGTTGACAATCCGCGTTACACACATCAAGACTGCGTTAAGTGATCCAATTTGAAACTTATTTTTACTCTCAGAAGCACAGGAGCAGTGACCGGGTGCTCTTCACAGTGGGACTATTTCTGAGGTTTTCAAGAACGTATTAATGGTTTTGATTTCGTAGAGCTACTTTCTTAGCATTTATAATTTGGGTTGTTTTGTTATTTTATTTAACGTGAATTATAGTTTTTTTTTTCGGGATTGGGTCAATCCTGGGTAAAAATGTGTTTCCCAAACTTATTTGAAAGGGGCTGTTCCTATTCCGCTTACAAATCGCCACGGTGAACTGCGTCGAGGGTATTAAAATATTAACTCCATTATTACCTGTAACAATAAGCGGCCAGCGTTTAGTCGGAACATCTAGAAACAGAGTTTCTAAATCGGCTAGAACGCCCTAAGTACGTGAAAAGAAGATATATTACATTCCAAATCATCTGCTTCCCCACAACAAAGTACCCACAACAAATCGCCGGGGACCTCCCCGACCGCAAGTCCCCTTTTTTGTTCGCAACAAATTTTCTGGGGGCCCCTTCCCCAGTTTCCTCCTCTGGCCCGTTCACACTCTTGCAACCGAGTGCGACCGAGAGAGACCAAACCGGTTTTTAAGCCTCTTGCGATCTCTTAGGACCAGCTCCGCTCAGTGCATCCGGTCCCAAGAAGTCTTTCTCGGTCGTACTCGGTTGCAAGAGTGTGAACGCGGATACTTCCATAAAGCCCTGCATGCAACACGGCGCGCGTTGCACTCTGGGAACTAGTTGGCCAGGGAGGAGGGTGGCATGGTTTCGGTTTCGATCGACACGTCGTGGTCCCGAGAGCGTCATTTGTGGTCTCTAAACCAGGGTGTCGAACCGGAACCGAACCGAACCGAAAACCGGAACAGAACCGTTATTTTTAGCCGAACCGGAACTGAACCGAACCGAAATCTTCGCCGCCATCTTGGAACTGAACCGGAACGGAACCGGAAAAAAATATAACGGTAACCGGTTCAAAACGGTTCACGGTAATTTGTTTTTGTTAGTATTACAAATTTATTATTTGGGAATAAAAAATTGGCACGTGAATTCCTCTAAGTATTGATCAAATCGTCATATACAGAATTCCAATGTATAATAA